AAATATAGGATTATTAACTTATTTTGAATTAAATGATTATTAATAATATGATTAATAAAGGATTTATATGCATTTAAAAAGTGTCAAATATGATGCAAATATACAAAGAAAAAATGGATAAATATGCAATTATATGCATTATGTTACACATTATAAAATGTTTTTTTTTTCTTAAAACCACACTTTTATACCAAATAAAATTCTAAATATTTTATCAAAAACGATAAAAATGATAATATATACTACCTTATATTTCAAATCATTTAAATAATTCTAAAACTTTTAGGAAACTTAAAAACGAGAGTACAAATAAAAAAAGTAAAAATAAAAATAAATATTTTAAATCATTTGAAGTTACCTACTCTCAAAAAACTAATAGAAAACTATACAAATCTTTTAAAATACTATTTTTGAAACTTAATATAATGAGTGTAAATTATTGTTTTTGATTAATAAATTATGATATTAAGTAACTTTTATTTTTTTATACAACTGCCCGAGCTATAAAGTAATGAGTACCATATGGTATATATATGTTGATGTATATCACAATTGAGATATTTTTAAGTGAACTTAGGACGTAACATTTTCATAAATAACAAGAAATTTAAATTAAATCGAAGATAAATCACAAATCAAAAAATAAAAACAAGACCAATTTTTATACACAAACAATAAGCCATGTCTAATTATGCTACTATTACCTATTATTGATTGTGGAAGTAGATTAATTAAAAAATTATAAATCAAAATGTACCAATATTATATTACAGTAAAAAAAAGTATAGGAAAAAAAATGGATTGCTATGAATATAGTCTTAAACACAAATGAACGAATCATGCGTAGACTGAAGTTGAAAAATTTTTTAGGTAATTAAAAAAAACCCTAGTTGTTGAGTAAGAAATTGAATGATCAAATACAAGTATAACTTTCCGCATCAGATACAAAAATAATGAAAATATTCACAAGGATACAATACACGATAATATCATATTATGATGCATAATTTTAGAGGAAATATGAGTATAATTTCAGATACAAGGGCATGTGGACGACCGATGGCACGAAATTCATAACCATATAACTGTAATTTAACCTCTCGACATTATTTAAACATCTGAACATAAAATAATAAAACCAGACTATGAGAAAACATAATTGAAAAATTATTCTTGTAAGTAAATTTTTAACACATTTATTTGAAATGTATTATAACTCGTATAATGTATTTAAATTAATGGCATTGATGTAAAATGTAATTTAATATTAATATTTGTAACTGTTTTGATGTAGTTGTCTTTGGGTAATTTCAAAAAGATAAAATATAAGTAAAGAAGTTTAAAAAAAAAGAATGATAACTCAAATAAAAACTTACTGTTACATCATTGGCGGTGTGAATAATCATTTTAAAACATAAATAATAGATAACATATTTTCAAGTTCATCATTCGTTAGTGGCATCCTTTTGAAAATATCCGATTAAACATTGGTACTATAGCTACAGAAATGTTGGTTTTATATGATAATTACTAAATCAAAATAAAAAGGTCAACCAACTTATTTTGACAAAGCAAGGTTACTTAATGGTATTTAAATTAATGTTCCTCAGACAACAAATATCATTAATAAAGTATGTCATTAGTACTTTTAAATCTTATTTCATATAATTTGTCATCCAAATTTTACTTTACTAAATTAAAACAAATATGAACAAAACTTATCTTAAATATAAAGTTAAATATGACTCCCTGGATGAATCAATTTAGAAAACAGCAGTTTAATAATAGTTTTACGTGATTCGTAGTAAATTTATATATTTTCCCAAATCTAAATGTAATTTTAACACTTAGTAGTACTTACATTAACTCATTGTCGATAATTAGTAAAGAAAATATAAAACAAATAAAAATAAAGTTATATTTAACATTGTTATTCTTCACAAATGTATTATTATTATTATTAAAATCAAAAACTGTACGTTTATATACAAACAACAAATAATTAGGTATTTACGTTCTTAAAACGATGACTTGCATATTTTACAAGATGAGAAAACAAATAAACATTACTTCAAGTTAGCTTGAAGGTACTATTTGTACTTATCAGACTAAAATTTATCAAAAATCATTATTCCACTATTTATGTTAAGTGAGATGATGATTTTTAATATAAATATGGAAATTATATTTTATTGGTCACCAATTACAGTTTTATTTAACTAAATCTCATAAGTTTTTATCAAAAATTGAAACATATCTAGAAATCATAAAGACGTTTGCTTTACTGACACTTAATGGAAACCATGAATGTGTATAAATGTCAAAATGATTTAACATTTTTCATAGATTTATAATACTATTTACACTATTTTAAATATTTTTGCATATTTTAGGTTAAAAATATTGAAAACGGTTTTCATAAATTCGTAATATTACAACATTTATAAAAAAATATCTTTTAAATATAGCTTATATTAGTGTATACACATACTTTTTCCCGTTGTATTATGCTGCATAAATACATTATTGTTCATATTATATTATATATTACCAAATAACATAATTTATAATTCAAAAACATATAAGCACGTGGTCTTTAATAAAACCACATAAATATTCAAAAGAAATAATTGTTTTATAATTATTATTTATTAATATTGTATCATATTAATCAAATTATCCCTTTTTATTTTAGAAATAAATTATTTAGAATATTTTTAGAATATAGAAAACTGTATAAACACGTTTTATTGCGTACAAAATAGTACAATATTGAAATAAATATTATATTTTAATTATATTTAATTTTTAAATTAAAATAATAGTTTTAATACTAAAAATAGTTATAACCCTAATAATTTTTATAAATATAATTTTTTTCTTTAAGACAATGCTGATACATTTCACAGAAAAAATTGATATTAATCTGTACAATGTGTTTATCAACATACCTTTGTAGGTAAACATATAATTACGAGGTTATTTATATTTGATAAATGTCTAATTTAATGATACAATGTTGTCAAACAATGTATAAAAAATATTTGATTATAAATTCAAGGTTGAGCGTTAATAATTTTAAAAATGTAAGTAGTAGGTATATAACGAACTATATTTTTAAAATATACATAAATATATATAAAACTCCAAGTATTTATTTTATTTTGGATTATAATACTTCGATGTTTTAAATCATTAATATTTTCTAAGCTTTTGATAAATTTAGTTAAATCCAGAAAAATTTGTTTTCCAATAATTTGATTAAGTCAGAGAAAAAATTTTAAGTTAAGAATAATTATTTCTATTTACAATATATTTTAATCGACTCTAATAGTAATTATGGTAAACTACTTTATATAAAATAATATAAGTTATTCACGGATGTACCCATACCAAAAATGAATATCTATAAGCAATTAAAAAATCAAATTTATTTAGTCATAAAAAAATCAAATATTTTTAAATAAACACTAGGTTTATTGACATGCATATTTAATATCTACAATGTGTAGTTTTTTAATTTAACAGATGCCACATATTATAAAAATAATAGTATCTCTTCATAGTAATAATAATCCCCGACCTCCTGCTCAGTTACCACTTTTTTTTATTTGTGTATAGAAACTTAAATATAAACACAGTACATCTAAATACTCATTGTTTTAGTTTATGGAAGAACTACTAATATAGTTATACAATGCATACAACAAAAGATTTTTATACAACCACTATTCGTACACGGATTTCTTTGTTTTATCAATATTTTTAAATATTTTCTTTAAAATGAATCGGTGTATATTTTTCTTTGTACTCAAATTAAATTCACACTAACATTTTTCCAATTAATGTTCGATTTCCTAGCAAAGGTTTGTATACAGTTTTTCTTTCAAATAATTTTTAATCAATAATATAGCATTTCAATCGAAAACAACTGTGTGCACAGATCTCATAATAAAATACTTCGATGAGTAGCTAGTGTATACAGTTACCAACTGTTTAATAACTCACCCAAATTTTCAGAAACCAAAATATAACAATAATTATTTAGTAGCTGTATATTTAAAATTATTATAATTTAAGCATTTATACATTATAATTGTAGTACACAGTAATCAATAATATTATTTGAAGGTACAGTGACATAAAAGTACAAAAGTTATAAGTAGTATAGGGCGTTGATATAAATTATTTAAACAAACAAAGAAGATACTAATTTTAGTTGTTAATTAATTTTAAGACTACGATTTTATTAAAAAATATTCTTAGTAACTCACATTTTTCTGTCTTTATCTAATAATATACTATAAATGACTAACATTTATTTCGTTTTTTTTTTCATTTTTAAGCTTATAATTAAAGTTTGTATAATATATTATAAATGGATAGTAATGAAAATTTAGCTATTTCTCTACGTAATAATAATACTCTTTTTTTGTAATATAAATAATGGTTTTTCAAATATTATGTAATGAACGATGAAACAAAGTTGAAAATGTAATATTTATTAATATTTATAGCGACACTAGTTTTCTTATACCTACCTCATTATTTATAATACACTTTATTTAAATTCAAACACTACAGCAAAAAAATAAGAGCTAACATTCTCCATTAAATAATAAAATTAACTGAAACGAAAATTTCGAAACTAAACTATGTTAATATTACATATATAAATGTATTTTAATGTGTTTTATCTTTAATTCTATATCAAAATAAAATAAAAATCTCACCCAGAAACCTTTTATTTATAATTGTGCAATATTTTGAGAAATAGTAAAATATAAATAAGAATACGAATACAAATACCAGTACAATTATTCATGTAATTAAAAATTGTTTTTTTTTTTTTTTAACTCAAATCTCAAATTAATTTCTAGAATACTTATTGTAATTATAATACTTCATATTTAATATAAATTATAAATTATATTTGGCGTAATTTAATCAGATATATAGGTATTAAAATATCTGTAAAGTATTGTTTTTATTTCTCTTACCTGTTTGTATGAGTTAGTAGATTCCATATTTTTTCCTTATTTTAATTAATAAAAGGACTAAGAATATGATTCCAAATTATTTTTTTTCGAACTTCATTTTTACAAAATTTCCTAAGAACGCACCATTAAAAAAATATAACGTCAATTTAAGTAAATAATTTTAAAACATTGTTTTTAACATTAAAATTTATAGAACAATATTAAAAATTTATTATTCAGGACAAACAGCAGAACATACACGCCATAATATAAATACGAGATCCTGATCGAGCCGGTGTTTCTTCACTGGCAAGATAAGTAGTTGGTCCACCATGTGTTCTATACTATAAAATGAGAGGGGAACTTAACCGGTAAGGTAAGAAAGAAGATAACTTATGGAGGGGGGGGTCTTATATTATATTAACTAGCACGCTGTGCTTATAAAATCGGCTTCAAGAACAATAACAAAATACAAGTTCAAACGTTTCTAATCATCAAAAATTATTGTTAATTTTCATTATTATAGATGATGAACTATACAACAATTTGACAAAGCCTTAAATTAAATAAAGTATCTGAAATATTTTGTTCGTTTTTTGAAGGTTATTTTTGGATAGACATTAGAAAATATCAGTATAAAATGTATTAATTTTTAAATAATGATTTATTTAAAATAATACATATCGGCACAATAAGTACCTTTAATTTTTTCTATAGTTGATTGAAAATAAAAAATAAATAGTTTCTGGGAATTTTGCAATTTTTATGGTTCCTAAAAATTGAAACAATGAACAAAACCGTGAAATAATATATAATATTTTTAAAATGCCGAAAACAATTTTCATATTTAATTTTAGCTAGTAAAAAGGATTCATTGTTTTATTTTTCAAAATAACACTCTTTGTATAAATAAAGTGTAATTAATAAAATATTTATTTTACATTTTACGTATCGAGAAATTAAAATTAAAATTGTTGATTATAATTTTAATTCAAATATCTAAAAAAAAATGTCAATGCTTAATACTATACTCGTAACTAGTGTTCGGTACTTGTGGACTTGTTGCGTTTGCATATTTTTACTAATGACTGTAAAATAACCTGAGTAAGATAGAAATTTATTTTATAATATAACGGACTGAAATACGAAAATTTGAATTGCATATTTTGCCGTTTTATAGGCAAAATGCATGTTAGACAGATTTTGGAAATTAAACAGTTATTTAGAGAATATTTACTCATTTTTATGTTTTATGTGAAGTAAGTTTATTCTAAAGGTTAACATTTTTTTTTTTTTAGATTTTCTATAATTTTAAACCTTTTTTCAATGTAGAAAAAAATTAATTTGATCATACAGGGTACCTAATATTATACTTTTAGATTTATAAAGTTATTATTGTTAAAAAATAACTAAACAATAAAAAACTGTCCACGTTTAAAGTTTAATAAATTAAATTAAAATACAAAAATTGAATTGCTATTATAAAAAAAATCAGTTGCATATTGTTACGCATATTTCGCTTATTTTAAGAGCATAAGTGCGCAATAAGTCCCGAACCCTACCTAAAACAAATATCACTAAGTACCTATCAGGTCTTCACTTCTATAATCGTATTTATATGATTTTCTACGTTTATAGAACAAAGAAGTCAATACAATCAAATATACACAAGCTGAATTACCCGTCTTCGCCCGTGTGTAGTTTTTAAATTAAATTCTTAAATCAATACACAATTGTTATGTTTAAAAAAAATTATTATTTATATAATTTAACTAATCATGATATAAAGGTAAAGTTATCAATGTTTTTCATACAACTCTCATGATATTAAGATTATAATTAAAAATATTGTATTCATTTGAAATTTGTTTTTTCACAATTTTATTTACAATAGAGTGCATAAACGATTATAACTAAAATTATGAATAAAACAAAATTGTGAAAAATAGATAATAGATTAATCGTATGAGTATTTAGTACAAAATTTTGAAAAATAAATTCGTAAAATGATTTAAATAACACGCTAGAAAACCGTAACAATTAAATTAAATCCCCCTTCTCCCACACTTCAGATAAAAAATGAAAAATCGGGTGATATGGTGACACTCAAGAAAGTATTTGGAACAACTCTGTGAAAAAAAAATTAGAAAAATTTTAAATAGTGTCACAACAAAATTGGAACATAAAAAAAGCCTGTTCTTTTATATATATGTTATACTGAATTTTCTGACTTATTTATTAAAAAAAACAAATATTTATAAAATTCCATGCTTATCAACAATTGTTTATTATTATTTTTGAAAAACAAAAACTGTGCTCTAAATTCAGAGAAATTAAAAAAAGATAAACCATGAATCTGTTGAAGCACTTTATCAGAAAAAGTCAGCTTAGAATCTTTTAAAACCAATAAAAAAATTCATAAAATAGATAAAATAGTAATTGTAGTAACAAAATTGAGTTCTATATAAAAATAAAAAGAAAAAAAGAAATGTTTATTTCCTAGAGAAAACTTATTACAAAAGCTTATAAATATACTTTCATTAATATTTTATATCCTTGTAAAATGATACTTAATTTATCTTAGCTACAAAAATACCTAATTTTTTTAATAGTATTTTTGTATTTGAGGGATTCCACAATAACATTTTTGTACATACAACATATCATTTAATATGAAATCAGAACATTATTAAAAAAAATAAGAGAAAATTATCATTATTCACTGTATTTTTAGTGAATTACAAACATTTTAAATTTTAATATGTATTGTATTATACAGCTTTGAAGTTATTATACAACTTAATATTAATGTTTGTATTTTTTAATTCTCAAATAAAAGTAATAAATTATGGTAGAGCTATTCTACTTAGTAATAAATTGTACATGATAATGACCAACTGATGTAACCTACGAAAACTGTAAAAACGTTAACTTATTAGTTAGGAGAATAATTAATTGGAGATAAATAATCAAGAGTAGAGGTATCATAATTTGTGCTTCATTTTAAATGTATACTAAAGAGTTATAAATTTAAATTATAAATATTTTAGAAATATAATTTTATTTTCATTTACTTACATAATATAAATTTTTTGCTATAAGAAATATATAATTTATTTTCGTAGTTCTTTAAGTTAATAAGAGTACATGAATATACGTAATATATAAATACTTATATCAATTATATATCGGCGAAACTTCAATTTTTTGTTTTGAAAGAACAGACTACATATTATTTTAAATTTTAATTCTATGTGAACTCATATATTTAGAACTAAAAAAGTGTTTTGTATTAACAATTTTTAAACAGGTAATAAGTATTAAAAAAACCATGTGATAGAACAATCATCAATGAAAACCTTATCTAATAAAGGTTATTCACTTCACTCAATAATTTACTTACCTTTAGAATTTTTTTTAGGTTTAGTTTTGAGACAACAATTATAAAGGAATAATCATAATATATTAAAACAACACAATAAAATAATTATCACTAATATTCAAATGTTACAAAAATAGCTTAATATATTTTTCTAATTTTTACTAAAACAATTTATTCACAAAAGATGGATAAATGTTAAATGAATAATATAATATAATCTTAAGTTGTGCGATATAATGTAATATTATATCCAATTTCTATAATAACTTTTGATTTATTATAAATATTTATGTAACTTAGAAGGGATTCACAACAAAAATATATGATTATTTTACAGCACTAATATTAATTTGAGAACCAATTTGAGTTCAGTTCCAAATAAATGTCATTTTTAAATATCAGTAGATTAAAATTTTTTTTTTAACAATTAATAAATGACATTGGCAACTATTTGAAGATTAAATGAATGATAAATATCAATAATTAATTTAATTTAAACTAACCTGACTAGAAAAAAATATATCAAAACATGTATTTATAATTTCTAGATTATTTAGTTTAGTTTGTATACCAATTATTAAAATTAAACTTTTTGTATTTATACATACAACATTGTTGTTTATATTATTCCAGAAATAATAAAACTATTTCATATTAATTTTCAATTCTTGCTAGTTTCATAGTAAATTATAGATATTTATTCCTTATTTTGATTTAAAAAAATTATTTACTGAATACTTTTTTTCAATAAGTAAAAAATGAAAAAACATAATAACAACTAAATGTTGATGACAATAATAGAAAGCTTTATAAAATATTACCTAATTGTTCTTAAAGAAACTACAAAAGACCAATAGTGGTATAATAACTGTGCCTATAAGAGTTCAAAATTACACTCTTAATATCTTCATACTCTTTAGGCTACTGAATACATACGGTCATTTAAAGCAACGTGCATTGTACACCAAATTGTCAATCGTTTCACAAATATTACTTTAATCCTGACTTCTCGACATGAGACATTAAAACAGGTTAAGGAATTAAAATCATATGAGGACCATAGTTGAAACAGGTGAAATATTATAACAATGATCCCACCCAACACAAACGGATTAATGGCTGCACGCAAAAATCGATTGCATTATGCCTGTGAAATTAAATTGCGTTATTGATAGGCAGGACTGAATGAATGCAATGTTAGGTGCATCGCTTTACAAATGCTTACCTCGGTTTCGGATTAACAGGTTTGGTCAGTCGTCAAACATATGTTATTGTGGTTTTGCAACTGTTGGATCTGTTGTTGATTACACGTCAGATAATCGTATCCGGTGATAGGACGTCAGTGGTACTTTTGTCTGGAACGGGAAAGGTGGACTAAAACGCCGACGAAAGAACCGAGATGAAGAATAACAATGAAATCGAACGAATAACGACCTTTAACAGTCCGTGGCATTTATCGAATACCGCTCACTGTGGCGCTATCAGCGTCGATAACAGCTGCCGCAGTTGCAGCAGCCGCGGCGGTGGCGGTCGTGGGCAAGTCGTGCGCGCCTGGACTACGATCGTTCCCTCGTCGCTACGCCGAAAACGGATGGATTGACGAATCGCTTGCCGACTGTGTAATATTTAAGGCGTAAAGAACGCCCAATATCGTTTAACAATACTGATATTTGTTGATCGCCATAAATACAACAACTACGCAGCATAACGGCTAGTTACCATTGCGGCTTTCCCGTTTCTGAAATTCGTTTTTCGACAAAACATTTCGGAACACTACTCGGTTCACCGGCACCACCGATCACAGCAATAATTTTATTGATTCGCACTACATAACGGATTAATAAGCGCGAGAGCCGTGTTTCGCGAACGTATTCTGTTTCGTGTGTCAAAATACCGGTCTGTATAATGTATGTAGTATTATCGTTGATTAAAAATACATTTACTATTTATAATCAACGGTACTATGTACATATAAATAAGATAGGTTTTAACGAAAATTACCAAGCACCGATTTGTTGAGCAAAATTTAATGAACTTAAAGTTTCGCTATAGAATGAACTTATTTTGCAATAAAGATTGCTAGTTTTTTTTTCTGAAAAATTGCACTGAAAAAATGTATTTTTGAAAAAACAACTAGATAACTAAAATATATTTTCTTCTTCTTCCCTGACCATAATATGTTTTATAATGCAAAAACTTACGGACACTTATTTTTTTTTATAATTGTCCTTGGTCCTACGCCCATTGTGTCACGACTGTTGCTCCTATGTGTTGTAATGTGTTTTTCATAAATTTGCTTTCTTAAAAAAATAGCAAACCGTAAGAAATATTTTAATGAGTTATAATGAACTTTGATGTATAAAAAAATCAAATAGAACATTTAAATATGTATCAAAAAAATTGATTTAAATCTATGCTTGCATAGTCGGTTTCAGGATTTTATTTCAGGCGAACACATTTCAGTTTACTTAATACATTATATGTAATAACATATTATACACATACATATATCTCTATCACACACATTCGCACGCGCATATTAACTTCATTCAATTTTCCTACTCAGAATTTTCATTTATCTAATTTGATTTATTACAAACAGTTAATTTATAACAAATGTTATAATTATTAGTTATAATACCATCCGGCATATTGTGTCATTCAGTATTTTAAACTCTTCGATGATCTCATCAATATCCAAATTTTTTGTTTTTTGTTGTTTAAGTAATTTTTAAAAAGTAACGTTCACAACTACCTATAACTTGTAACAGATATTGTTAAAAATAAAAAAAGTTAGAAAAAATTTCAATTTTATTAAAATATTGTAGATAATCAAATCAAAACATGAATTGTTTGAAATTAAATACCATTTGGTGTATCTGGCATATTTTCTAATAAATCATCTTTACATATATTAAATTGTTCTTCTAAACATTTATATGATACACTATCATATTTCCAATTTAATTTATAATTTGTAATGAATCTTGGTTAAATCTAAAATTAATGTAATTTATTATTTTATTTAATGTTGTTTAAAATACTGTCACTTTTATTTCATCTGATTTTGTTTGAAAAAAAACGTTGACTTTGTGATGTATCAACTTTTGATGACACTTTCTTTTTTTTAGGGTAGGTATGTATTCAATACCCTTCACACCTTTCTAAATATGTTTGGTAAATATTTTCAAAATAATAAGATATTATCGTTGAAACAAATAAGGATTTTAAATAAATTAAATAGGTACATCAACAGAAGTCAAGAGCTCAAAGTTATTTGCGTGCAACGATTTTGTAACTTTTAGAACCATTTGCAAAATAGGTTGCATCATAAGAAGTCCGAAAATAAATTCAAATTACTTCGTTCGAGCCAAAAGCCTTGAAAGTACATTTAGCTTCCATTTCTCACAAACTTCTACAATAACAGTTAAAATAGCTGTTAAAATAACATAGATATAGTATATTTATATATATATATATTGATACATACCTAACCTTTTGAATAAGTTAAATAAATTCTAGTATGTATTGTGTAATGACAACTAATAAAAAAACGTGGTGGTTGAAATGTTAAGTGCAGAACAGGCTTAACCTAACCCGAAGGACACCCTAAAATTATGACTATTATTTTTTTCAAATATAAATTTATTTTCAAAATTATTTTTAGTGTTTTAAAAATATTCTTTAAACTAATGATCAATCAACTCAATGATCCATTATAAAATCGGATGAAATCCCCCAATAATTATAAATTTTATTATTCATACCAAGTATAATTCATTAAGTTTGAAAGTATATAAATTAGTTTAATTATTAAGCGTATCATCGAAATTATCCTCATAAAATATCAAACTTAAATAATATTTTTACTCTTAGTAAAGTATTTGTAGTGCTATTCAAGAAATATTTGATAAAAATTTAAAAGTCCTTGAAATGATAAAAAATGTTTAACAAAAATCTAACCTCTTTTTATATACTTATGATTATAATCTTATAATACGTTGTCAGTTGAAAATTTTAACTTTTATACTAAGACGTTATTTTTAATCCTAATGATAGTGGAGTGAGTTTACGTAATATTATAAACGTTAGTGTAATAATTATAATGTAATTATTATTCGCATTATTAATATTTTGAATATTTAATAGGAATTAGATTATTTCATTCGAGTATATAAGGAGTATATAAGTAACACATTAAAAAAATATAATATAATCACATTGTATTATATTCGCAATTATCAAGATTTTAGTTTTTATTTAATTTTTATTTAAACTCTCATATTTTAATTTCATGTGATCTATATATATATTTTGTTAAAAAAAAAAAAAAAAAAAATGCTTATTCGTTTTAAGATTATAAATGATAAATCTTTGGTTTAATCTGAGTTTTGATGAATTATAATTACATTATGAATGTGTGTTTTACATTTTAATATTTCTTATTGTTATATTTGATACCTTGATAAAATATTATCATTTATCTTAAATATAAATATAATATAATCTGTTTAATATTTTATAATAAAATGGTGTAATAACGTGTTACGATAAAAAATATTATCGATATTTAATGGTATATAAGACCTTACAAAAATACTATAGTGACAGTTTTTAAAGCACGGAATCACTTTACGCTTCACATTTTTCACCATGGCTGATTTGAAAATTTTAGTAGTGTTCTTTGTAGCGTTATTTCTGAAGGTATAACATCTTAACAATTAATTAATATAAATATTACTATTATTTAATAATATTGCATCTTGAGTACCTATATGTATTATTGATATATTTCTTAGAATGGCGCCCTATCGTGTTCATTACATAGTCACACGTCCACTTCGACTTCCTCTTCCGTTTCTGATTCAACTACGCACACGTCGGTTTCATGTGGATCAACATCTGGACAGTGCAGTTCTAATGGGTTAAATCAAATTGCAAGTACTTCGCTTGATTCAACTTCATTTCCACAATATAATTCTGTTCCAGTTACGTCTATATCTGACCCAGGTCTACCCGCAACACCTCTTTCAAGTAGCTCTTTTAACTACGACGAACTTTCAAATAATTATTTACCAAATTACTTGTCATTCCCTCCAATACCCATTGCTACACCAATATCTCTTCCATTTCCTTCAACGAATTCGTTTGATAGTTCTCAGCCTTTTCCATCTATTGACAGTCCAGCACATCTGAAACCATTAGTTTTACTTTTTATGCCTAATTCAGGATCTTCCAAGCAATGGTCCACAGACCGTTTAATTCCTTATCCACTATCTAATCTACAACAAATTACTATTCCAACCACAATTAATGTACCAGGCATAAAACCTACATTCGTACCGGAAGAAGTATTGAGCCCCGTACCAGAAACAACGACCACGTTTGCACCAGTATCAAATAATATTCCTATATCAGCTCCTGTTATTACAATTACCAATTCAACTGACATATCTACGTCTAGTTCCAATATAGTACCAACTTCCGGTTCTTTATTACAATCCGTCACTGAACCAGCCCTAAATCCCGAATCAGATTCAATAAATACACCAGTGCCTCTTGTATAAACTCCATAATATGTATGTCCGTCCAGTGTTTTGATAATATCTAGTAGGTAAATATAAATTTGAACTATATCTCTTAATAAATTTGCTAAAAATTTATTAAGTACCTGTAATTACACTATAAAAAAATATATATGTATAGTATAGATAACATAACTAAATGGTGTTGTGCATATTATTTATTTCCTAAGTATTTTATATAAAATGACAATGTAAAATCATAAATTTGATTAAATTTTCTTAAATCTTAAGTTCGTGATAAAAATCTAGCTATAATAATGTCATATTTGTTATACATTGATATTGCTCTAATAATATTTATTTGTGTATTTATATTGAAAAAAAATAAATATTATTGATTTAAAATACATGTTCTTGTTTTTAATATTTTCTTATTTTTACAGCTATTAAATAATTAAATATTACTATTAAAATATTGAAATAAGAGGATATTATCTGGGTTTTGTAGAAGCAGTTTTAATGAAATATTATGAAAAGTAAAAACTTAAAAAATCCTTTTGACACTAATGATTTCATTCGGATTGTAATTTTATAGTATATATAATTTATAATTTTTATAATATTAATAATTAATTTTACTACATCCTCTATAACTACTCTAGTTATGTATAGATATAATATCATCCAAAAAACATACAAAAATCTATTTCTAACTATCTTATAATTATTTTCAATTTTTTTTATCAAAAAGACAATAAATATAATATGTTGTATTTAATATTATATTTCTTACAGCTATATTTATAACTGCAACATGAATGTATAGCAGTTCTATTCAACATGAAAATAAAAAAATTAAGAAATTCTCTTAGGTCTATAATGGAATTTATAATTAAAAACAATGAATTTTGACCAAGTTTGTATTCTAAAAATTATTATGTTTGGTTAAATTATCTAATTATCAAAAATATTACTTTATCGTTTTATAAACATTTATTTCAGTAATTGAATATCTAATAATCTAACTTGGTAACTATGCAAAATATTATATAACCATGTTATGAATTTTTAGTACCTATCTAATTAGATTATATATACCTAGTTGTGGCTACTGGCTATACTCAACAATAAAATAAAACTTTTTCTAGCTAATTTAAACTAAAATCATTAATTATTTATCATTTTGTAGAGTGCCATAATTAAACTACTCAAGGTCTGTGTGCGTATTTCACTCGGATTGGTAAAAAAAAATAATGAAAAATTAGACTTTGTATTATAATATTAATTGTGTCTGAATATGACAAATAGAAAGATAAAATATAAACTGTGATCAAATTTTATTGGAAAAATCCTAGAGAATAACGAAAAAAACTATAATTTAGTAATCGCGTTCTATAACTCTTAGGAAATAGCCAAAGGCAAATAGTCTTACTATTCTTCCACATATCCATAAATGAAAATATTAGAAGAGAGGTCTCGGAGAAAACTGGCAGTCTAAGTTATTTTATGAGCTCAATCAAATTAATGCACATATTTGGATTATTGGTAGTTATAATATGAACTTAGTTTTTTTTATGATTTTTGAGATTAGGTATCACTCATTGAGTATACAATTATTTTTGTTTAAAATATTTTAGGTAGTATCATATTATTATAAGTTTTTATTTTGTAAAAAAATTAACGTTGTTTACCGACATTTGATACACGTGTCGAAATAGAACGTCATGACGTGTCAGTTAAAAAAACCAACAACATTAAAGATGAACCTATTGTAAATCGGTATACTCTTTATCGATAACAGTATCAAAACATAATTTTTTACACTTTTATTATATCAATAATTTTACAATGTATAAATAATGTGATTTACGAAGTAAAAAAGGTATGTTTTGTACAAATTACCGTTTACTTCATTTAAACAAAAACTAATATTCTGTATTTTAAAACAAATGTAATTTATTTTAATTTCTAAAAGTTCTACTTTGACAACCCGTTGGTTGGTAGTCGAACATTTAAACCTTCCATTCGATGTACTTATAAATCGGAAAGCCCATACATTACGATTTTAAACGACAACTGGTAAACCCATCGTGTTTAAATTCAAGACTCGACAGAAATAAAAACAGTCGTGTTTCATCGTCGGATTTTGTCCACACACTTCAGTTTTGACCGATGGTTTTTATCGTAACGATAAAAACCGTCGTGTTTCATCGCAGAGTGTGGGGCCCTTCACAGAATATAACTTTATGTTCACTGTTTAACTTAATATAAGACTTATATAAATGTTTGAAACAAGCCCACCTTTCAATATTATTGCACAATATCTTTTGAAAATAAAATTTAATCTATTGTATTTTCATTTTGTGATTCCATGATTAAGTATACTAGAATTATTACACAAAAGTCAATGTTCCAATACACACTATAATATAAGACACAGAAAAACATGAATGATTTTTAAAATTACCACGATAATATTTTATCAAACATCGCACGTCTAATATTTATTAAATATTTATTAAACTTAAGTTTAAGAAATCAAAAGTAACGCTTGCAGAATATATCATAATAACCTAATCTCCGTACCGCAGTATATAATTCGTACCACCAATTCGCCACACCATTAAGATAATTAAGATTAAAAAATAATATGATTGTTATGATTGACTAGTCAGTGGGATCTATGATATAATTCATTATCTCACTGAACAATCAAATTTCATATTTTAATGTATAAATATAAAATATATATATCATATGAAAATAATGTTTGTGACTAGTTTGGATAAGTAATTAACTACCAATTTATTAGCTATTATAATTTAACTTAAAAATTCAAAAAGGCAAAACTCCAATATCGGAAAAGATTTTGAATAAGTAATAAAATGAATAAGAATATTTAACTCTAAGTATTTTATTATATAATTATACCCAGGCTTGCAATTTGGACAGACCTCGGTAAGAGTCGGCATGTAATTCGGATGTTCTAAAGTCCAATTATTTTTCTGGAGTGCAATTCGGATGCACTGTTAAATATTTGTTTAGTAATAATCATATAGATACATTTAAAATATTTTTATAAAACAAAAAAAAATTTATACATTTAGGGATTTTTAATTTTTTTTCTTTTATTATATGTTTATTATTTAATATTTGTACACATATTTAAAAAAAACATATACAGTGTTTTAATAATAACTAGTACTTATATTCTTATTTACAAATAAAATAATTGTTATTAGCACAACAATAATAATTTAAAACTGTTGTTTGTTTCTTTCGTTAGGTTTATAGTTAAATGAGTAATTTGTACAATATTATTTCATGCAGAAGATTCATTATGCTTCAATATCGATTCTTATTATTAACGTGACGTGCATACTTGTATACTCATATGTCGAATGGCATTAGCGTCCTAAGCTCTTTGAAATATTTAGGTGACTGCACTTTGTTTGATTCGGGTTTTAGTCAACAGCTCATCTTAACAAAACATTTTAAAATTAATTATTTACTGGTGATGATGAAAATATATACATTTTCTAGATAGAATAAGTTCTTGTATAATAAATGTTTGCAGAATTATTTTTCAAAACATTTTTTTTTTTTTTGTTCATACAAAAAACTATATTTCACATTTCGTAAATAAGTATTATAATCTACAGTATAGAAGAATATATAACGTATATAAAGTATATTACATATATAAAATATATAAAGTATAGTACGTATATTACGTATATATAAACAGAAATTTTGATTGAACTGAGTTAAACAAATCAGGGCCGGTGGAGGGTAAGGCAATTCAGGCGGTCGCCTAGGGTGCCATTTTCAAGGGGTCACCGAAATTGCTTTTTACCTGCTTTACTTTTATTTGCACATATGATAGTAATATTATTAATTTTTTTTTTTTTAATGTAAAATACCTATAACTTTGTATTGAAATATTGATAATATTTATGGTTATTTCTTTTAGCCGTATATTAAAATAATATACCTAAGTATATTTTAAATATATTTACTATTATTTAGCAAAGAATTTTTTATTGTTATGTTGCTATAATCCCCAAATTATTTTGTTATAGTTCAATCGAGATCGTGTCGAGCCGCCATGACTCTCGACTAAAAAATTAGACGATAAAAAATTTTGTATAATATATAATTTTTCCGTATTTCTGTTCACGAACAAAATTTTTTTCCATGTATAATGAAATTACGAGTAGTTGTATGAAAAAAGCGCCAGTTGGCATTTCGGCCTCGGTCGTCATTTAGGCTTATGCCGGCCCTGAAACAATTTGTAACCCAAACATCGTTTTTATTGAAATATCGATATTTTGTATAATTAATTAAAATCAATGTGTTTTCAAAAAAACATTAATTGTAGAATTAACTTAAGACTAATTACATGTTATTAATGGACCCTACTAAAATGTTTCTAAAACTAACAATATTAAATTTAAAAAAGTCGTATTATGTATTATGTAAATTTTAAATACGTAAATAAAAATAATTTTTTTTTTTACTGTTTATTATTATTTTTACATTATTACAAGCAATATGCATACAATAACATATATTGTATTTTATATCATTTTTATAATTTACTAACATACGAACAATATTTAAGATGGTTGATAATATTCATGTTTTTAGTATTGATTATACATAATCCATTATAATTTTGAAACTACTTCCTTAATATCTAAATAACATCAAATGGTATGCTTCCTTGTACAGGCGAATGGCCTCGTTAAAACCAGCACACAATGAAATATCATCATTGTTTTGTGTACACTGCAAGAACTGTTTGATTTCAAATGCACATTTTGCACCTTGTTGGTTGTTTTGCTCCATTGGAATTGCCTGTACAGGTTGAGCTTGAGGTTGTTCCTCATTGTTGGAACCACTACCATTAAACATACCGGTGACTGCATGGCCAACAGTATGTCTAATGGTTGAACCAACAGGTGCATATTGTTGTGTTTTAGCTGGGGCTGCTGATCTTCTCGGTGCTGGACGGAGAACGTCCGCGTCTTGCCATTTTGTCGTTGAAGTGTGATCTGGTACAAAAAAAAAATAAAAATATCTTTCAAAAAAATATAAGATCGAGTAATAAATAAAATTTCGAAATTATATAATATTCGACGAAGAGTGTGTATGTAGATTGCATGGATTTCAATGTTAAAGAAATATACGATAAAAAAAACCATCAAATACTTTCATTATGTAAAGTTAGTATTTTATTTGCAAATTCGTACACAAACAAAATCATTTTACAATACACATTTATCATAAAACTAAGTGTTTCACTTACAATGTGATCGAAACATATTTAATTTTATCAATAAATTATATTTTATAATATGATTGTATCAGCTTCAAAAGTATATGAGTATAAAGATCACAGCCATGAGTGTGCGCAGATCTATATTTCAGGGAGGGTTTACTATTCTTTTGGGCCCTATCTTAACAAAACGTGTAACATGACTTTAATTTTTTATTGATTACTGTAATTAGTCTCGATGAATATTTTTTCCTTGAATCTCGTAAATTTTTCCTAGATAGCTTCAACTACTTATGATTTGTATTTTTGTAGTCTATTACTGCTAATATTACACATTAACTGTTATATTATCATAATACATTTTTGCACGAAAATTTAGAAAATTTAGTTTTATTCTGTCTATTACGAAAAATCATTTATTTTTTACTAAATATTTTAGAATAAGTCATATTTAATTTGAACAACATCAGTTAAAATATAGGCCCATTAATCTTAGACTTAAATTATAGCGCCCATTTTAATAAGTATTTCAGAGGGTGCCCAAGCACACCCGGCATCCATAGTGCGCACGCCCTATGATCACAGCATTTATAATTTGAACTATTCCTTTTACACACATATTATAAACATTTATTATGTATAGGTAATTAATTCATATATAGTTGTATATCTACCGGTCTATTAAGTATTATTTAAGATCATCGAAAATTTATAGTTTAAACATTAGACGGGTTTTTTATGTTTTAACAGCCCACATTATTGATAATATCTATCGAAAATCATTAATATCAATACAACTGTTTAATATTCATTATCATCACTGAATTAAATAGGTATCATGAAAAAATATAATTAATTTTTATGACTATTAATAACCAAATATGTAATTTTTAACTAGATTGAATGCAACAATTTATAATAATTTTTGAATCCTTACGTTATTCTTTTAACACTGCTAAAGACAATTACTGACAATTACGACTGATTGAATAGTTTAAAGTATACTAAATCATAATATGTTGCTTGAAACATATCTCATACTCAAGCAGTGGTTAAAATGTTGTGGGGGGACTATATTCATCAAAAATTGAGGAGCGCTCCCCTACCTAATTCTAAATCTTATCAACCTTTTTTAGGAAATCCATGAGGTCTAAGCCTTTTCTGTTACACATATATGTTCATAAAAACTTTATTTTCATAGGGTGTAAAAACAAATTTCCCCCAAAGAAAAATTATTTTATATGCCTGCTCAGTAAAATTAAATTGAAATACATAGCAGGTAATGTTTAAAAATTTAACTTAAACTTAACAAAACTAAAAAAAAAAAAACAGTTACTAACCTTGCAAGTTGTTGTTCAACGTAGACAGTAACAAATACGTACATTGTACATAAGGTATGTACTGTCTATAAGATAATGTCTATCCTCTATCACAATTTAATATTTATATTATTTATAGTTATTCTATTCTGTTTATATTTATTGTAAATAATAGTCGATATCACACTCACTTTAATTTTAGAGCTGTGGGTAATAACCACTCGGGGGTCGTATATAATTAAACACAGCGTTAATTAAATTAACCCATCGTGTACATTATCTACCATTTTTGCTTATCTTTATACTTACATATTATTTCTTCGATATTTTTTCCATTTATTCAAATTAATCAAGAAATTAAATTTCATGTAATATTGTAATATTATAATAAGTATTGTATATTCAATATTGTATTTTAGTGACCATTAAGCATCCACCCGGACTTTTGGCGACTTAAATTAAAGAAGACGCAATCTTACCTTAAATAAGAAAAAATAAGAAAGGGAATTCCGTCCCCCTCCTTCCACCCACTTTAACCACTGTACTCAAGTATATATATATATATATATATATATATATATATACATACAGTGTTATACGAATAAAAAAAAGTTGTACCTATCATACAAATTTATTATTTTTAAACAAAACGAAATTATTTATATGCACAGAATAACATATAAACTGGCATAGTATATTTTTCTAGTATAAGTATAAATTATAAAGCATTTTGGGAACGTATTTTGAGAATCTTTTGTGCATAAAAAATCGTTCCCTATTTAAATGTTATAACTGATAATACTTTGCATTACATTAGCCTCCAGGGCCTAATATATATATATATATATATATATATATATATATCGGAGGTATTTAATACATTAATTTTGAAATATATATACTATATTTTTAACACGGTATTAGCTAATAATAAACTTATTTAAAAAAAAATATATATATATATAAAAATATATATGTTTCATATTTTGTAAATTGGGGCCTTTTAAATCCTGAGACCCCCAGCCTAGGCCTTTCGGGCCCATTTCTTAAGACTGCTCTGATTGTTTACACTTGAATTAAAATGTACAAATGTTATAAGTTATAATTAATTAAGAATTACGATATAATTGTAAACAAAACCATTTACCTACTAATATTAATAAAATTATTTTATATTTTATGAGTATTTATCAGTTATTATCAGTAATTATCAATTATTTACCAACTCAAATAGGTAAGTACTTAAGTATATAATCATTGTATTTCTTACCATAAAAACTAACTAGCTATTTACAAAGGTTGGCAAGTTAATGAAAGTAATTAACGCGAGTTAAGTCAAGTTAAGAGAACACAAGATCGATAAGTTAAAAGTTAACAGTTAACGATACATAAATTTAGTTCGATAATTTAAAAGTTAATAAGGAAAAAAATACTAACTTAACTCAGTTTAAAAAAAGTTAATCTACTTTTTTTAATTAGTACATATATCACATAAAAAAATGTGTTCTTTAGAAAAATCTAATTTCCCAAATTATAATAAACAATTTTATTGAATTTTTTATTATAATATACAGCAGTGGAGCCAAAGTTTTTGATTAGTACTATGACATTGTACATCAAGGGGCCACTCTCAACCGTATTTATTTATCTTTATAGTTAAAATTCTTTATACATAACATTCAGTGTTCACGGCCAGAACCCAATACCCAAAGATGGGCCTTCAACCTACAAAATCTAATATGATATCTGCTATACCGTGTATGCGACCATTTTAATTAACATGATTATTTAATTTTTATAATAATATTTACGTAAAAACAAAAAATTTCAATATTTTTAACTTGATTCTTTAATTTATTGTTAACAGGAATCACAAGACACGGTTACATTCTAATTTTTACAAAAAAAAAAAAAAAAATAATAATAAAATAAAATAAGTAATATAAAATTAATAATATATTTTAGATTATCATTATAATACATATTTGTACAAAATACAAGTAAAATAAAATAAAATCTGTACTAAAATAAATAAAAACTAAGGTAAAACAAATGACTCAAAAATAAAAATAATTTAAAAAAATATTCATTTGATTATAACTTAAAAAAAATATTTAATGCTCAAACATATTTATTATACTAATGATAAATGTTTGCAACCAGAAACTAATCTAGAGGTTTTAGAACATGGTAAAGTTGAAGATGATGTAAGCGGCCGTAAAATATGCTTAATGTGAGGTGTGATACCAGATGATGTGGATATAGGATGTAATAGTCGTGAATGTTTCAAATGGCATAAGTGAGGCCTTAAAGTCGGTTTCAAAACTATGTCAACATTTAAATTTTCATTTTGTTCCGGAAATGGTTTTGGTTCAGTAAGAGATGGTGTATTGGGAACTGGTACTGTAGGTGGTAAAGGTGATGTACAAAGAACACGTGTTGGCAATGACTTGGAATTTATAGATAATACAGAAATATTTAATGTTGGTATTGGAGGATGTAAACTTAATGGTGGTAAACAAGGAGATGTTTTTAAAGGAATTAAAGGTGGTGACAAAACCTTACACAAGGGATTTGTCTGAACAGAATTGTCACTAGTAGATATATTTGAATTTGTGATTGGAACAGGTGTTGAAGATGGAGTTGATTTAGGTGATAAATCATATGATTTATTCAATAGTGTATTTGTTGTCAATGGCGTGGAATTGAGAGATAATACAGGAATATTTAATGTAGGTTTTGGAGGATGTAAATTTAATGATTTTAAACAAGGAGGTGCTTTTAAAGTAATCGAAGTTTGTGACAAAACCTTACACAAAGGATTTGTGTGAACAGAATTGTCACTATTAGATGCATCTGGATTTGTGATAGAGACAGGTGTTGAAGATGAAGTTGATTTTGTAGCTAAATCATACGATTTATTCAATAATGCACCCAATAAGTTATTGTTTAATTCATGTAATGGTCCTTTGGAAGTAGACGTTGGAAATGTATTTGGTTTAGAAGGAAACATCGAAGTAGTATTAAATTTAGTATCAAAAATGGGAAATGATGTATTTAAGGACGCAGGTAAGGACGTTGGATGAGCAGATAATAAGTGATTAATTAAAATTTTTATAAAATTTGGATTATAACCATAAGGTATACCTGAAGTTGAAGTCAAAGGTGCTGATAAAGGTGGAGAATCTAAGGTTAAATTAGGAGATAAAATCGAAACACTCGACGAACAAGAATTAGAACCAAATGTCTTAGCACAGGTAACAGGTGCAGTTTGTGGTTTTAACGGGGTTATCCGTGTTTTGTTTATTGTAGATGTAAAGAGTGAACATGGTGATGAACTATTTGATGTTAAAGAAACAGGTTCACCTGTAGGTGCTCGATTGGACAATAAACATTTAATTAAAAGATTTATAATGGCTGAATTATTTTGACCAGAAACAATAGATATAGTAGATGTTGGAGCAGATATTGGCACTAATATTGAAACTGGTGCTTGAGATGATGTTGGATTTGATTTTGGTAGTTGTACAGGGAATTCTTCAGGAATTAGTTCTGGAATTGTTATCTTAGGAGGTAAATTTGAAATAAGTGGCATACCATTTGATGAAGTACTTGAGCCGAATGATGATGTACAATTAAAAGTCGTAGTAACTGATTTTGAAGGTGTAAACATTTCAACATTATTGTTTAATGTTTGCTTAAAGATTGGGCATGGCAGTGACGAAGGTTTTATCTTAGAAGTCGATGAAAGTTTAGTTCCAAAAACACTTTTTAGCAGTTGAAAGAAAAAATCTAATAAATCTGAACGAACACTAGAAGTTTGAAATGAATTGGTAGGTGAAATTGATGGTGCTGGTTTAGAAACTGGTAGACTTGGCACTTGTGCTACAGTAGAAGGTGAACCTAAAACACATGGCTGTCTTGGTAGAGCATTTGATAAACCAGAACTTATTGGACTTGAACTAGATAATGAATTACAGATACGAGGAATAGTACATGGTTTAGTATCTAGAGCTAGAACTTGCTCTGGATTCAACGTAGGTATAGGAGGTATTTGAGATGCAGTTGGTCTGGTACCTTCTGAAGAAGATAATAATTTAGCTATAATATTCAAAAGTGTTTTGCTGTAACTAGAAAATTCCATTAATTTTGGCTTTACAGTTGAAGCTGGAATTGGCAAAGATGTTCCTGAAGAAGAATTTGGTTCCGAAGGCGGAGTTAAATCATTTGGGGGATTTGGTACAGCATTTGGTGAACAAGAGCTCGAAGAAGTTGATGAATCACAACGTGAAGGTATTGTATTGAGTGGCCTTGGAGCTGAAGAGTAGTGTGGAGTTGAAATTTTATTAGTTTTCGTTGAGGAACATAGAGACTTATGACTTTGCAATGAACACGAAAGGGCACCGTCCTAAAATACACAAAATCAACGTTTTACAATAATCCATATTATTATTTGCATAAATGATTTTTTAAATTGTTAATACTATACTATTATAAGGATATATATATAAATCTTAATAAAACGATTAAAACACAGGTGGAAATTGGGCCCCCCTCCCGGCTTAAGGGGACTAAGCCCCTCCCCAGAAATGTAAAGTACAGATATTAGCCCCTAATCCTAAAAATTATAAAGTGACTATAAAATACAATAATTATTATATGATAATTGTAAAATAACATTTTTAATAACTGAATTTAAAAAAAAATATTCTATGATAAAAATTAAATCAAATTCGTAAGATTTTACAAACTTATTGTCATGACTTGGAACGATCGTAATTAATGTAATATTAATAATATGTAATAATACCCACATTGGTGGTTTAATTTAATTAACTAATAATTTCTGTTTAGAATACCTACTCCAAAAATTTTTAAAATAAGGCACCTAATTGTTTTTTAGGTTAAATTGTTGAATATGTCAAATTGTCAAACTTTGTTAATTGCCTTGTTGAAACCCCCCTCCCCATTAATTTCACCAAATTTCAACTTAAGTTAGAGCAAGATTTTATAATGAATGAGTTTATGTATAAAAAATAACGTAGGTATAGTATAATATTATGTAAATGATATTTAAGTGATACAATGAACACAAAACATTGTAACATTATATGCATTTATACAAGTAAATTTAAAAATAAACAAGTTATCTACATTTTGTTTTTAACGGATCTACATAAAATTTTTAAGTTATTTTGTAAAAAAGTAACTACAATAATTAAACTAAATTCCAATTGACTTAAAATTATCATAATTTTTAAACTTAACTGAAACTTATGTTGTTTATCATATAAACATTATTGTTGAAAATATATGACCAGAATTAAATAACAATATAAAAATCCAAAAAATTATTTTTATTTAGAGAAATACAAACATAAATCAATTTATGTACATTTTTTTTAAATAATAATTTTTTAAAACTAAATATATATAGGTAGCTTTTACTATTTTAATTTTTTTTTAAATCGCATGTACTTAACTACATGAAAAATTAGCTGAAATCTGCAGCTTTGATGTAACTGTTAATACTTCAATGAAAATTACTTCAAAAGATTTATTTCGCTTAAATTATAAAAAAAAAAAATGATTGTAGAATATAACTGTCGATCAGCTTTAAATTTAATATGGTATGGTGCAATACATTTTTTATTGGTTTACTAATATACTATTAATATTAATTTATAATAAAATTATTTACCTTCGATACCAACGCCACAAATACTATTAAAACAATTTTTAAACGGTCCATAATTTTAACAGAAGTTCTGTAATGTATTAACTGACACTACATATTGTTTTACTAGGGGTTTATATACCATGTTAAATGTTGATAGTAAAAATGTTATCGGAGCACGTTATTACAATACCAAAACGATTATTTTTTTTTTTTTTATAGTTAAATTTTATCACAGTATCAAATTATATTGTAGAATATTATAAAATAAGTATACCGACTCACGTAAAAAACATCGCGAGATTATACAACATTTTAATAACATAATATAACATCGACTGATTTTAAAATAAATGAGTATAGTATTAACTATTGTAAATTAATCAAATATTTCGTAATAGTAGAAAAAACTATATTATATTTGGCTACGTTATTTTTACTAATAAATAACATTAGTCAACAGTGGCGTAACTGGAAAAAAATCTAGGGGGGGGGGCAATATAATATATTTATTATTACCAAAACCCTCACACTCCTCCCCTCACCAGTTAAAACATATCTTTATTGTATGTATTTTATATACTATATCTAATTGTTTGATTTTACATAAGTCTTTTAACTTATTTTATGGTTTAGATAAACATAAATTGTAGGTAGCAGTGGTGTTTATCTCTCAAAAAATTGTCAGAGGGGGCAATTGCCCCCCCTTGACCCACCATAATTACGCTACTGTTAGTCAGTAAATACGAGTATTTATTTACTTTACCAAATAAAATATTATATGCCATTTTATATAGATTATAAATATACAAATGATCCAATTTTTATATTTGAAAACTGTAATGTGTAAATAATAATAATCATAATGAGACTCGGAGCCTAAAATTTAAAATTTTCCGTACCAAACTACAAATTTCTAATAAATATTATATAATACATATTATAATAAGTCTGTGATGCACTATACGGTTCAAGATGAACATCCTAAAATTAATGTAGTGGTATCCTAGATTCGATGTAGCTTATCGGTACTTAGTATAATACGATATTTATTTGTATAAATAATTGTGTTTGTAATTTCTCCATAAAATAGTTGATTGTAACATACATTTAAAATTCGTTGAACTCACTTTATTTTTTATACTGCATAAAATATATTATAGTACACACAATGTCAGGTCCTGATAAAACTGTAATATAATATGAAATATATTTTATGTTAAATTTATCGTTGAAATTTAGTTGATTAATTTGATATTGTTGTAACTGATACTAACGATTGATAATTTTGTTAAATTAAGTAGCATCAACCATCAAGTAATTATTAACATAAGTATTTCGACATAAAATAAAAATTACAAGTACCTATAATTTTATATAAAGAATTATAAATTATATAATGTTTCATGTATAATTATTATTAATTTATTATCAAATATAAATGAATAATTAAAAAATAAATAAATATATTACCTATCAATTATTCTTAAATACCAATATTAATACTAATATTGTATTTATATTACATATTTGTCAGATCTGCTCATAAAAAGAAGTTCATTTTAATATGTTAATTAAACGTATTTCATCTTTTTCAATACAATTTAATGTTTTATTTTATTTTTTTTTTTTTTTTAAGGACCAAATTATATCTTAAATATTAACTACCTTATTTGTTTAATAAATGTTGGTTTCTGATATATTTTGAGATATAAGGAAATAAATAATACCTAGGTGTTTTTATCAATTTTTAATAATAGACATTAGCGTGTGCAGACATAACTGGCAGGGTAGTCAAACATAACACATTATCATTTAATATTAACAAAAAATTTGCATTCGTAACTTCATTTAACTTAATAACTATATTTCTCCAGTATTCTTACATTTTTTTAATGTTAACTAATGTTTCGAAGTGGTTGAAAATAATATGTTTATTTATTATTGTGATCATATTGAATATTTTGGTGAGGGTGGGAAGTTTCACAGAATAGTCAAGTACCTACCCTGACTACCCCGTGTGCACGCTTATGATAATAGACTCGGTAATTTATTCTCACCGTTCTATTATTTTCTTCAAAATAACGATTTGACAATAAAATAAAATAACAAGGGGTAAAATTTTATAAGTACCTTCATACCTTTTCATTCATAAATTTAAATCATATTACCTATTATTACCTATTGTTAATTTAGGTAAATATTATCTTTATCTATACAATAAATAACAATTAATAAGTATACTTGATGTTCAAACTACAAACAGATAATGTAAGTTCAATGAATATGTGAATTGTTATTTAATATTATACCACAAAACAGAGATACTAATTAGTTAGAAATATAAAAGTGGGAAGATATAAAAGTTTTCAATACCTACTTATGAAAAAAAAAAACTTGTCGCTGCGCTCGCATAATATTAATCACGTAGTATAATTTTATTGGTGTAAGCTTATTGTTACCTAAACATTTACCAACGAATATTGATCATTATCTACCAATCTTCTAAATTAAGAGGGAAAATTAACCCCCCTAATCCTCTAGATTTTCACCTCTGCCACAAACCAATATGTACCTATGATGTTAACATTTTTCAAAAACTACTGTGCTTTATCTATTAAATATTTAAATAAAAATTTTTCCATTTAAAACATCAAAAACTATTTAAAATAATTTCGTAAATCTAAAGGCCATTATATTTTTGATAGGTATTGATTACTTAAATTAAAAAAAAAAGAACTATATTTAGTAGCCTACTAAAATTCTATGTTTTATCAGTTACCAGATAGCATTCAATATTATCTATATCTACTTGTTTGTAATCAAAATAATGACAACTGACATTTTTTGAATAGTTAGGCACACAATTATTTTATTTTATTTTAGATGTAACTAGATCTAGTATATATTTACTTACATGCACAGTTAACAAGTTTAATATATAATAGTATATAGAAGTTATCTGAATTCATCTCACGTTACAACACTTGAATTTTAATTAATACTATATCTGTAACAACATGTAATAAACTATCAACTTATTTCACTTATTTTAGTTGTTTAATATAAATCAGATACCTAAAATAACTTTAAGGTGCTTAAATATAAACCATCTAAAGAATAATGAATTATCTAATACCCAATTGTTTTTAATATAAAACATGAACACTTTTAATAAGATTAAGTAAGTACTAAAAAAACATACATTTTTCAAATTAAATAAAATTATCATTTTGTATACGAATATTAGCATATATCTCTAACTTCTTATGTACAGAAAAAGTAATTCAAAACATTTATTAACAAATCACAAATGTTTTAAAATAAATAACATACCAACTTTCACAAGCAAAATAATAATATGATTTTTACTCGTCATTTTTTAAATTAAAATAAACAATATAGGTAAAAATTGAGACCAAAAAGTTTGTTAGTAAAAAGTAAATTAAAATTTTAGATTATTTGGTAAAAAATAAAATAAATAAAGTTGCACACTAATGTTATTTTAAGTTGTAATAGGGTTAATATTTAGATACAAAAAAAAACATTATCAATTTTAAACAATACTTATTTAGAAAATAAATAAAAATACATTATTCTAACACAACACACATAACACAATTTAATTTGAATGATGTAATAAATAACTTACCTGTAAACATATTGAACACACACTGACATCGGTATTATACAAAACATATTTTAAACTATATGTGACACTTACATTAGGTACGTATACTTTATACTAGTTGTGAATTAAAAATATTTAATAATTATAACACATGATGTTTCTTTGTACGGATGTCATACATTGAATATTTACTTCATGTATATCAACGAGCGACATGAATCATTGCAACATTCATCAATAATAATCAAATGAAACGTAGTAAATGTTAAATATTTTGTTACCTACTTAGTATTTTTTAATATGATACCATTGGTTGATAATATGTTTACTTTTTTCCTCGAAATGCTTATTATATTTTATATGTTGTTTACTCAAAAATATCTGTTGAGTACTGTAATTTTTACCAACAAAACGCTTCATAAAAAAATATAACAACAAATGTGTAGGTATATTGTTTAGATTTTTGAAACTTTTCTCGTTTTCGAAAAAAAAAATATTCATGAAAAATATCTTGTAATCTTAAATGGTAAATCCTAATATTGTGAATTATTATTCTAATTTTATTATAGTTGGTAAAATAATAATATCCGCGAGTTCATAATTTTAACGACTTTGAAAATTAGGCATTTTTAAATATAAAATCATGTATAATTATTTTCTAAAAAGCAAAAGTATTTTTCTGCTGATTTTATTTTTAGTAGACTTGTAAGTTAATTATTTATGATATATTTTAAAATCAATCAATTGGGAAATAAAAAAAAATACAATTATTAATTATCAAAGGCCATAATCAATTATTTTACAATGATTTATCGTCGATATATAATGTACAAAACAATAACTATATTTTGCCTTTAAAGGCAATATAACATAAAAATTTACTTCAATACTTTTTAATTATTTTGCAGTGAATATTATCGATACCCACAACATTATAATAAATAAATTGCGAATTGAAAAAAATCAATGGCTTAAAGATGGAAAATAAAGACGAGTTCCTGAAGCATAAAATTCTAAAAACATATCCATCACCGTAGTATTTCACGTGTCACGCAGTAGTATAATTAGATGTAAACAAGATAGAAAATTGTTTAAACAGTTATATTTTAATACGATTCTAAATCAACCGTTTACACTGCGTTGTAAAATCTAGTGGAAAAACTACTCCCATTTTCGCTAACAATATCCGACCAATGAATTAATAAAAAATTGTTTTTTCACAATTTAACGGTATCTAGTGACTGTATTAAATGCGGTTTAATGGCTAGTGAAAGTATACAATAAATACATCGAACTCGAACACAATTGATTTTTCGCTGTATCCACTAGTTATTTAATACAGCATATACTATCTTGACTACCAGTCTACAACAGTCCACAACTATACTAGAAATCAACATTTTTAAACTCAACATTTCATTTTCTGTAGAAAATGTAAGTATAAAATGTATCAGTATAATAGCCAAATAGTTTACCTTTATGTTTTCATGTTTTTTTTTATTCGTCTATGAACTCGCATTATTACAATAAAATAATTAAGATTTGTTTCTTAACTAACCGTGTGAATATCTGATTATAACTCGTCGGGCAACAGTATTACTATATTCTTTTATAGTATCTAACGTCGTAATCAAAATTATCCTTATACGTAAGATGAAACATGTTTATAGTTACATATACTGTTAGATATATTGTGTTTCACATTATAGATAAAATGTAACAGATAAAATAATTGTTCTAAAAATGCTAAGTACTATACTCAATCAACTTGTGTCGATTTGTAAAACAATGCCCATTGTCTTTTATATACAGCTGGGTCGCATTAATTCGAACACAGGCTAATCCAAACGGGCTTGAGAATTATCGCATCGTGATATATATATGTATTAAATATCTACATGTGTTAAAAAAAAATAGCTCAATATTTTAAATTAATATAAAGGTGTCTAATTTTATATACATACATCATAATATTAATTTTAATTGTATTCATTGTCTTTATCAACTATGTTTATATAAAATTGAATTTAAAAATTTTAAATGCAAAAAAATTAATTTTTTTTTAAGTCATAGATTTTCTAAACAACCCCTTTCCCCAATCTTGTTCGGATTATCGCTATCCTACTGTATAGTGTTATCTAAATTACTCAAAACTCGAAATAATATTCATACACCTAACAATATATTAACAGCACTAGCTGTAAGTATTTTCAATAAATTATAATCGTATATTAGTATTTAATTTTTTCTATGTATATAATAAACTGTATATTCCTTATATACAAGTTTCTTCCTTTTTTTCATTTTACTGTTTTATTGAAAATCAATATACACAATCATTGTACACTTTCTATCTCCGTTTTTTTTTTTGTTCACTGTTTCATATGATACGTCGCGTCTCCATCACCCATTTTTTAATTTTCGAATATGAGTACCTAATAATAATGATAATAATAACAATAATCAATTTATTGTTTACTCTGGGAAATCTCTCGAGTAAAAGTTACATACCTAATATTATAGGTATATATTTTCTCGAAGAATACTCTTTTCAATAATTAATCATCCACTGCCAAAGTGGAATAGGTACTTTTTGTACAATTCCTATTTGATATTTGATATTCTGAGTGAAACAAAAAATGTATTGGTTTTATCATAATGTATGTTTTTTTTTTTTTTATTTGTTGTGTATCTATGTACACGATTTTGACAAAAAGGATTGCTTCTATCATAAAAATCGTAGAAGGCTTCTAATAGGCGATTTCGTCTAGTTCGTACTTAAGGCAGGCCATTTTTATTTTTAACTATCAATATAACACACGATTGAGTTATATTCATAGCAGCAATTCCAACATGGGCTATTATGATTTTTAAAATAAATCACGAGTATCACTTCGTCATCGAAATTATATCTAACTCAGAGTTGTACATTTTGTATAACTACCTACGAGACTCGTGACGTATATAGGGGGGGGGCTTAGTGAGCTACAGCTCCCCCCTCCGAAATATTTAAAAAAAATTAAAAATTATTTTAAACGTATGTTATATCTTAATGGTGCTTTATGCTTATTTAGAATTTGCGTCCAACGTCAAATCGTTTTATGACATTCTGTAAATGAAATGTAGATAAGTACCTACTGTGCCTTGTTAGTAATTCTTAGATAGCAGAGGTAATTTAACTCTGTCCATAGTAGCCCCTCCCGAAAATATTTTCTGTATACGCCACTGTACGGGACCATTGACGTTTTCATTATGTAACCAATATTCTATATTACATTAAACATAATGTTTTGATTATGAATAATTATATACATATATTATATAATATTATTTCTTATATTTATTTTCAGATGAACGCGTTACGATTGACGATCGTTGTGGTTTTGGTTTGTTCACTGATTCAGTTCACTTGTATTGCGTCAGGATATCCGACGAAAATGAACAAGAGTCCTACGAAAACGGTACAACGCCGTAGCGGAAGCAGTTATGTGGATTTCGGCGCTCACACTGGCCCTTTAGGCTCGTACGGTTGGTACGTGGATTTTCCGGCCAATAAAAATTAAAATATCCACATATTTATATATGGTTCTTTTACATTGATTTAAAATCTTGTTCGTTACAATACCGAAAATAAACTATTTTCAAAATCATTTCAAGGAAGACTGTTTTTTTTTTCTTTGCAATTGGTATAATTGACATATAGAACATACATATGTTTTATATACTTTAAAATCGAAATATATTTTAAATTTAATTTGTAAATTTATACATTTTATTCACAACGAGTATATTTGTATTTTATAAATATGTTTAATTATTACTTGTAAATATGCGTATATTATATTGTAATAAAAGTATAGTTAGAGTGGGTATCTTTTTTCTGTTTCGTGGTTCGGAAAGATTTAGAAGAAAGAGATCATTGTAATACATACAATACTTATAATACATTACTTACAATAATACAGTGTATACTATTATAAACAAAGTATTTTAATGACTTCATAGAATTCTAATTCCGAAGTAATTATACGGTTCATCTATTAAAATTATTTGAATTAAAAATACAATACCTCAATTTACAATTCAATTTTTTATTTTAATTTTAAAATATTAGATTTTAAACCAAACAAGGAATGTGTTAGTTTCACCACGATGCGTGTTAAAAATATTATAGTATTTTCATTCTATACTGAGTAGGTGGTATACTGAGTACATGGTCTGGTACCGTGGAAATCGTGTAATAATAATATAGTGTTTTTAAGTCGCTAAGGTAAGTAGCTTATAACCAGAAGTTTTATGATAATTTATATTAAAAATTAAAACACTTTTTAGCGTTAATTTATAGGTAGTTTGGTGAAGTGCTTTTACATATTTAACATTGTTTTAAACTTAACTAATACTATGAACAACATATAAATATATAACATATTTATCTATCTTAATATAGTAGTATAGTTGGTACAATAGTAGTATAACTAATTCCCCGTAATAGAAGTTTTAGGAATGAACCTAAAATATAATATTTACATGAAAAATTTGTAAAATTAAATAAACATTGTACATATATATATATTTTTTTATAGTAGATAATCAAATTTAATAAAATTAACGTTGAAAAAAAAATAGAAAGAGGAAGACCAAAAAGAGATGGTTAGATACAATTGAGAATGATATAAAGGCTGTTGGTGTATGAGTAAGAGATTTAGAAAATCGAGACGAGTGGAGGTATAGGAAAAAAGGTGGTCGAACTCAAATAGTCGAAGAAAAAGAAGTAATCCAATTTAATAATCTAAGTTACTTAGATCAAGTATAAAGGCGATTTGATTGAGTAGTTAAAAACTTAAATTTTATTTTATTTGAAAGTATTGTTTTTTTTTTTTTTTATGAATTGTTTTTATTAATACTATCTAGTAAGTAGTTAGAAAGTATAGAAACTTAACAGCAAATAGTCTCATATAATAGAAAATAAAATATATTTTATTATATATAACACTTCCAGATTTTGTTGACACTCTAAAAAATTGCAACTAAAAAGGAAAATAATATAAAATTTGAAGCAATAAAAAATTTGTTTTTAAATAATTCAATTTAATTTTAAAATCACAATTTATGTTAAATTAATTTTTATTAATTTTTAAGGGGTCACTGATTAAACTATTATTTAAGAATATCTGTATTTTTATCTTTGTATCAAAATATTTTACCTAGTATCTTTATTGAAACAAACATCACACATCAAATAAAATATGTTAGTAACCTTTTCACTTCTTTGAGTTTTCAATTTTTCATTTAGATACATCAAATGTTAAATAAAATTCCTATTGTATTAAGGAATATTATACGCTTCTAGATTTTTTACAACAAGCAAATTACAATGTAGCGGTTTGAAAAAGCTCATGCTTCAATAATAATAAAAAAAAATTTATCGAACTGCGTTATTGTTTGTTTTTTATATTATAGTTGAGATTACAGAAACAATCGTCTCAAAGTTAGTATCATATTTTCTCGAAAAATGTATTAACTATATTATATTTTATAGTTGTTTATTATTATTTTTTTTTTTTTTAATGAGTTTTATTTTAATTTGATTCAAAGATTTTAACACGTAAGTCGTAAACATTATAGTTTTTAGTCAAAGATTGCCTAGTCTTGTAAGTGGCCCTAAATAAAGCAATAAGATATGAGAAAAACACTAAAAAAGGACTTTGACCAAACCATGTACAAAACGTACACAACTCAATTAAAAGCTGTTTATAATACTAATCATTACACTACAGTTGATGCAATATCAATTGACAACGAGTATGGGGTCAACAACTCGCAGCGTAAAATTATTAAACAATTTAGAAAAAATTAAAAACTGATTTACGGTATTTTGAAAACGTATAAGTGCCAAAGAACATGGAAGGACTTGATAAATGATCAGTAACCATTATCGGATAGGTAAGATGAAAAATCCGCCGTGGAACCTGGGCCTGGGCCTAACCACATAGCCACCGTTTTTGTCTCTCTTACAATACTCACGAGTTGGAAAGAATTTCGAAGCTAACATTTCAAGTATTCGTGAACAGTAAGTAAAGAAATCAACTGATTATATGCGTAAAAAATAATTAATTTTGCAGTCGCGTTACATTAGTTCAACATTATTGGACTAGAATATATAGATATATAATACATGTTAGAATCACCATAAACCAGTCAACATATTGTTTTATTTATTAAATTATCCTAATAACTTTAAATTTCGAAAACTTACGTGCATATGCAATTGAGATTGTTGAATATTATCTGTTAAATTATTGTTATCAAGTTCATGTTATTGTAGATCCATCTGTCACAGGAGTTGCAGGAAACATGCAAATTATTCATCAATGGATGATGAAGTATATGTAGCTGGAAATGTGAACAACCAAAACGTTGGCAGTAAGTTATCGTCTATCAAACAAGTTTTGAGTTTATTGTTTTTTTTTTTTTTTTTAATTTAAGACATGTAAAATTAAATTTGAGAGAAACTGTAAGATTGGTATTTAAAGAAACCGTGACTGTAATCTTAATTGTATGAGGAAATCAGTTACAGTTCATGCTGTTATGCGTGATATTATTCTACAGTTAAAACATTTTAAACATTATGTTGGCCAAACATTTTTATTCAATTGTTCAATTGGAGAAAAATACCATAGCTTTTTTTTAAGAAAAGAGGACTTATTGAAATCGACACTCTTTCTTGTGTGTTTACTGTGGCTCGAAAATATGACAATAACCCAATGAACTTTCATTGGAATTGATATCAATTTTCGATATCAATAAAATGTTCGATATTTACCTACGATGTCGTATTTCGATATCGAATATTATTTTGTCATATCAATATCGGTAAAATTGGTCTGTTATCGATATCAAAATACGACATAATTGTGCATCACTACTAATAACCATTATATTTACTAAATTTACCGAGGTAGTATATTAAATAAATAAAATGTTAATTACTCTGATTTTCCCCGACACGTAGTTTTTCGTATTACCCACATATAATAATAATATCCTTATATATGTTTCGTATGACAGAGTAGAGCAACATGTAAATATTAACAGAAATATATACTAAAAAATAATAATAATAATAATATTAATATCCATTCCCGGATAAGAGATTGTTCTCTTCGGATCTCAGGAGGAGCTATAATGCTCAGTACTGGAAGCCAATTTAAAGGAGTAGTTTTCAATGTTCGCCCTATGATTCTCATTGCTGAGTTGAGCTGTGTATCAAGTTTATTGGTATGTGCACTATTTATCCATACTGAGGCGCAGTATATAGGCTGATGCAAATAATATCCATGTACTCAATACATAGGTTTTGTGTTTTTTAGTTTTTATTTAAATCTTGTTATTTTTGTTTAACACCATCACTATACAGTATAATTTATAATACATTAAGGAATATTTTACATAAACATGGGTAGTAGACCACATACAAGTAGAAAGGACAGTAGACCGCATACGACAAGAATACCGATATATTATTTTTAAACTATTTTAATTTATGAAATATCAATAAATTTAATTAAATAAAATTCATTTGAATTGATATTTAAGCGCTATAACATAGGATACATTTTTAGTTATTCCAATTTCTAAATATTTATTATGGTTTTTGTTGAAGTAAGGGTGAAGAACGACATAATTTAATCCAAATTGTACGTAGAAATTCGTTATCACAACTATCGGACACGAAAACATCCGAGTTCATATTTTCTATAGCTATTCATGAATTATCTTGGAATACCTACGTTACTTAAATTAAATCTGGTAAATGGTAATACATTGTTGAGAAGTAATAGAAAACGTAATTCATTGTATCGATGCATTTAAACGACCTTGATCGGTTGAGGTTTTAAAAACTGTATCTCTACCGACATTTTTCAAACTTTGTTGTGTATTTTTTTTGTAATTCTACTTGAATATTAACACGATGATTGAGAGGACCGCCAAATGAATTCGCCACAAAGCCCTAAAAGTCCTTAGAGCGGCTCTGCTTAACAGTATTCGGTTGAATCACCGTCGGTACACGTTATTGTTATAACAAAGAGAATGTTAAATGCAAGTTATTGATTTTTACGTCTCGTCCACACACAAATACGACAACGTGATAACGTTACGCCTACCGTGATAGTGGTTCTGAAATCAAAATACATGCAGTGTGATAAGAACATGAACCGAATTATGAATAAGTTAAATATTTTGTTTACTCGATATTCAACTTTGAAATATTTATTCAATACACCTGTAACGACTCCTGTGACGCACGGGACTATGTAGGTACGCGTCCGCCCATCGGTTTCGTATGTTATTCCTTATTGATTGTGGATGTACCGATTCGTTTTAATAGGTCATACAAGATCACTTTAGATCACACTGGACTACATCTCACAATGGCACGATGAGTTTTGCGTTCGTTCCTTGTCCAATATGTTAGATCGTGTTGGGGGAAATGTTTGCCATGTTTCCCAGACAATTTTTCGCAATCATCTTGTTGCTGAACACTGTCCGTTCGAACGACGTGCCTTGCGACAAGACCCGTACTATTTTGTCACAGGCCAATGGCATCATCACCCATGGACCGCCAGGAACCAATTACTCACAAAACACCCACTGCGAATGGTTGATCAAAGGTAATCTGTTTGGTTAAATACCATTAAATACTAAAACATTTTCATTTTTTCTTCATCACTTGTTAGTTGCACTGACATAAAGAAAATATTAAATGATGGCTTTAAAATTATTAATCAAATTGCCGTATTATAATTTATTTAAAAATAAAATGATTTTTAATCATCAAATTTGTATTAAAAATTGAATTCACTGTAATGAAAAAAATAAAATAAATATGTTTATCTAAATAGTTTATTAAAAACTATTCAATAGTCAGATTAATTAATCAGTAATTTTTACTTGATCTATCTATCGTTCTTGTAGTTTTCCCATGGATTGTTTTTTAATGAAAACCTGTCTTATCAATTGACTCTCTGCATGTCAGCCTACTCTGCCTTTTTGATCTTAGAAATTGGTGTTTAGAATTAGAAACTAATTGGTTGAATTATACAATCTGTTTAAGTATACATTTTTCTCCGCTTATATAAACCAGTATTTAGGTTTAATACCAGTTTTAATTATATAATATACATCATACAAATAGTGTCGGCGCTAGGAGTGGACAAATGGGATATTTGTCCAGAGCCCCGCGCTTGTTAAAGGTTCCCTGTAATTTTAAATTATTATCTTAATACCATGAGACACATTGAAATTTTATATCCTAAAGGCTAATGTCCAGGACTCCGCAGTACCTAGCGCCGGCACTGCATACAAATATATATAAATATATATACATATGGTGTCTATACTTAAACATTTTAATATAATACTAAATATTAATATCTAATTAAAAATTTAAAATCAGACCTTAATTGAATAATATTTATTTGTCAAATCTTTTTTCATTATTTTTAGTACATTATACATTTATAAGTAATGTAAACATTGTATGAATATTTAATGTAAAAATTGTATCTCAATAGAAAATGTTAATAAGATTAATTACCAAGGCATAATGTTAGATAATAAATGTATTTATTGTATTTTATATATTTAATGGGCAAGGCCCTTTTTTACATAATGTGTACAATTTTACATCATTTTATAATGATAACATGCATGATTAAGACATTCAATAAATACAATTAATTAGAACATGAAAAAAAATATTAAAACTGAACTAAATAGAATCATCATTTTAATAAGTCAGAAATATAGTTAATCTACAAATCAAATACCTACTGTATATGTTACCAGTACAGCCAATAATAAATTACAGAATAATTACATGGGGTCATACGTATGATTATTATATAAACCCATTAATGATAATCTAAATAGCTTAGTTAAATTCCCAATAAACAAATCAAAATATACAAGTAATGACTATGAATATAATAATTTAAAAATAAATAAAATTGAAACTATATTTTAAAAATGTCTTAGTTACACTATACAAATATAAATACATTATATTATGAAACGTTTCTCTTAATTATATATTTATATAAATATAAATTTATTTTTTAGTTGGTACATCTATTTTGAAAATGATTCATAAAATAACTTTAATGATATGTTAGAATAAATATTTATCATTCAGAGTTTAATATTTTTGTATTCATCATAAATTCTTAAATATCATTTTATACCGTAACACAAGAGTTTTTTAATTTAATTTTATTCAAATACTATTTATCGAAGCTACTTGATTTTAAATATTTGAATTGTAAATATATTTTACGTAAGTATGTGAGAAATGAAAATGCTCGACAGAGATTCTAATATTAGTTAGGGTTTATTTATATTTTCTATAGAGTGTCTATAGTTTAGATCTCTTGTTAATCTGACCAATGTTATCAAATCAACCTAATAGAAAACATTTCATAGGTTCCTTATATTATTTTTTTATTCCTTAAGGAGATAATAATATACAAAAAAACAATGGGTTAAAAAATGATTATTGAAATGTGTAGATTAATTTTGTTATTCGTTAAATTTTTAAAAACAAATAATTAAATTATCTTAATAAAAAAAAAAAACATTTTTTTTTTTTAATTTGTCTATTATTAATCATATAAATAATTGCACATTACTTTTTAAATTTTTATTCATTTTTATGCAAATTTAATGCTTAAATTAATTTCATTTGTTTTTAGCGAATAGTACAAATCAGTTTATTACTTTGGAGTTCAAGACTCTGAACACTGAATGTTCTTACGATTATATTTTTATTTATGATGGAGATTCCTTTAATTCACCTCTTCTTGGAAGTTATAGTGGAAAAAATCAACCCCAGTCAATATTGGCATCTTCAGGTTTTGTAAGTATTTTTCATTTTTTTATTGATTTTTTTTTTAAATAAATATCTAGTTATTTCAGTAGTATATAATAATCAACTATTTGGCATTAAGCTTCTACTCTATTCCCTTAATTCACATTTAAACTTCATGTTATAAATAGACTAATGCTGAAAATATATAAATAAATAAATAAATAGTTTAAAAATAGAAATAAATAAATGCTAATTAAACGATCTCCTAAAATAAAAAATCTCTATGTAAAGTGATCAATTTTTCTCAATATATTTTTTCCTTTATTTTTTCACATTCATTCGCGAATATAATAGCTTTGCATACACAGTAGAAACTCGATCAACCATCACTGTTGGGTCCAGAATTATAACGGTTAGTCGAAAAGGCAATTAACATTAATTTTGCAATAAATGTATATATTTTACAATGTGTGTATTTTCAAAGAAAAATAATAATCATATATACTACATATTACATACCATATTAAACACTACTAAACTAAAACTAATATTTTTAAACAAAATAATTTGTTATTTTCTTTTGTTTTTTGAAGTTCGGGTTTTTTAGCCGCAATATTTCGTATTTTACGTAGCCATAAGACCGGGTTACTCGTCACTCACTGAAAGAATGAAATTTAAAATAATTCTATTTGTTCGTTCACGTCACGTTTATCGCATACGTTGGATATTAGAAAAAAATTGTATATGCTTGATAGTCATCGCAACGAGTTTATCACGATTGCCTCATTAACGATAGCGATGACGGATAACAGAAAGTGACCGTTAATCGAATTCCTACTGTACCTGACGATGCATTTTTTATTTGAAACCAATCGTAATTTACAAATATAATACTATTCTAGCCTAGGAATTTATTTATTTATATATTAATATATGAGTATTAACCATTTAAAATTTTTAATTTTTATTTAATTTTTTATTATTTTGTTTTAAAAATGATTCTGCATTTTTTATTCAAATTATAAAAAACTAATTATTAAACTGCAATCTGTAATTTATACGTGTAACACTATAATAGTAATAATTTTTCAAATTAAAGTATAAGCATTGAATCATGACCAAAACCAAATTTTTTTCTTTTTTTTTAAAGAGTGAGAGTCTATACCAAATATCTTAAAAAGGAACTACTAGTCTGAGTGATAATTTTTTATCGTCTGATGTAGAAAATAAGTCTTAATTCTTATTATTTCTACTCCATAATAAACCCCTTGTTGTATTGTAATATTGACGTAATATTAGACGTGAATAAACAATGGCGTGACAAAAATATGGTATATACCTGCCTATGATAAAAACTATAAAATAACAATTAAATATTTCAAATTAATCTTTAAAATAAATTATGAAAGTAGACATAAAAAAAAAAATTGAAAAAAAATGGATATTATTATGTCATAGTTTAATACACAGAAAACATCACATATATTTAACCTAGTATTAAAGTATATATTTAGCAACTTAATAAATATATCACTACAAAATGTTTAGTTTTTCCTGTGCCCTGTGCCCCCTGTGTTCTTATACAAGTCGGTATTATACATAACGTCACCGTATTAGACAAAATGAGAAAACTGATTAGCGGTAATTTAATAATTATTGACGATATAGTATTTATATCTCACATTCTTACTCAATGTTATCGGTTGCTCTATCATTTGTATGTTATAATTTTGTAATACTATAAAACCTCTTAATAGCGGACATTCACAGGACAATTAAAATTTTCGTTATTGACCGGTGTCCACTATTGGGAAAAATTAATAAAAATAAAGCTTTGCGATTAGCCTTCCACATTACTCTAAGATAGTTTACAATAATGTTCTTAAAACACCGCGATTTTAATGCTTTTCCAATTATCATGCGTTTCAATATCACCCTACATTCTGCTGCAATTTTCGCCTTTGAGACGCATTATTAGGTTAAACATAAAAAAAGAAGTCTGTTTCGCCTACATTAAAAATATTTTTTGAAAAAAATCCTTCTCACATTTCAACTAATTTACTATTCCAATGGTCTACGATATTAACGTCAACGGTTTTTTCCGCACAGACTGCTTTATTAACACTGTTGTGACTTATGCGAAATGTCTCTAATCATCCATTAGATACTTTAAAATTAGTTTCACCCAAATTTTCAGCGATTTCTACAGATTGTATGAGTGGACCTCTAATGGGCACATTTTTAGCATGGACCCGGCAGAACCATTGGTAACACACATGATCTATTTTAAAGCCCTTACTTTTTATGAAGTTTTATTATGTATTTTCATTCACATTTTCATCACTTACGCAATAGATCTACATGTGACTTGAGTATTATTCTGATTTGAGATATAGGTATATTATATAGGTTATATAGATTAAAAATGTCCATTATTTAGATATATTTAAGCATATCGGATCACCTAAACCTATTCGCGTCCTTTATTTAGAGGTGCCCGCTATTTAGAGTAGCGTAATCCAATCATTTCAATAGGGCTATGCCGGAACCAATAAATTTGTCCGTTAAGAAAAGTTCCACTGAGTTCGTACATTTTTATTACCTTCGTATCGTAATTTCATTAAAATGTTGCTGCATGGCAGTTGCTGGGATTTATTAATTATATCATATCAGTTTTTTAATGTACCGTGTATACTTTTTCTGAAAGCGATATCTTTAACATAAAACTGACAATTACCTTAGCATATGAAATAAACAAAACTGTTCGTTGTTTATTAATGAAATACGCACTTTTCTGAACAAATTGGATTAACTGTCCATTTCAAGAATTTGGCAACTACATAGACGGTTTTTAACATGTATATTAAACAATTAAGGTTTTTTTCCCCATAATAATTAAAAGTATGTATAATCTATTGCCTGAAAGTAAATTGCTATTTGTAAAAATTAATCTTTTAACTTGATTATACAATTAATCTATTAATTATAATAAATAAATAGTTTATACAAATAAATAAACAAATACTTAGTGTGGGTTATTATTATATTTATAAATTATTATCGGTTTCGATTTAAAAATTCATCGTTAGGTATAATATAAGGTATATAAGGTGACCAATGATCACTGACCATATGTCCCGTTTTTCATATATTTGTCCTGTTGTCCTCCAGGGAATCTTCGTGACAATAAAATGTTCCGTTTTCAGAAATGGTAAAAAAATAACGATGATCAATTTCAATTTGTTCATAAATTATTGTTTTTATTATATTTAACTGCAATGTGTGCATGTGCCGTGTATACACTGCATGGTGGTAAGTGATGAGCAGAGTTAGGATTTGTATGCAATAAAAAATTGTAAAATATACATTTTATTTACCAAAATATGCAAAAATATACATTTAAATTTTTATAAGATAAACACAAAAATATAGTTATAAAAAAAAAATTATTTTTATTTGTCTAAATATAATATAATTGTGAAATAAAATAAAATTTATATTTGATAAAAAAATCAAGTTTTATCTTTAATTAGCAGGGCTAGAATTAAATATGAAATATTAATATTAAATTATAAATATTAATTACGAACTATACTATAAGACATTTATTTTTCGCATTCTTATAATCGAAATATGCAATAATATTAATTTTATTCAATATATGCAATAATATGCATTTTATCCAAAATATGCAAAAATATGCAAAATAAAAACACCACCATTTATCTTATCATGAGGTGATTCGTGGACATTACTAATAAAATCAATAATCAGAAGTCACAAAAAAAAATATACTATTGCATACAAATCCTAGCCCTGGTGATGAGTAACAACGGCGAATGGCAGGGGCTGTGTGTGGTGTGTTGGGATAGATAACTACACTAATAAAGTATATACTATATATTAAATATTATATAAACACAATATTAGTGCAAACACAAAATTATTGTTCATAGTTCATTATTTCAGTGTTACAGTAGTTGTTGGCCGTTTTCTTTGCGTAGACACTTATCTTATATAAGTAAAGTGTAATTAATTAATTTAATTTTTTTGTTCCTTAAAACCATAATAGTACTTAATTTTGTTAATAATTATTAAATAAAAAAAATAAAAATTTATAATTAAAATTATGAACATACATTTTTTTTCATGCCGTTTTAACTAGAAAAATATATGGTCACCTTAGATATATATTAAGTCATAATATTCATATTAATTATATCCAAGTTGACAATTGACTTATCTTAACGTGTTTTACTCATCAATCATTTGCGAGTTAGAACAATGACTGTTGTCAATTTGCACCAAATTTAACCTAAAATATATACAACATGTGTAATTTGGACCACCCTCAGGTAGTATGAAATTGGAATTGTAATTTGCACCAATATTAAAATTTATTATTATTTCGATAGTATCTTGATATTACCAACGTACAAGTTTCTATTTATCGAGGTATAAGAAGCTAATAACACAGAATTTTAGGTTTTAGATTCTGAGCCGTTATTTAATTTATTTACATCTAGATCTATACGGTACTTTAGTATTGACCTCAAAGCTACCTTATAAGAATAGTAAATAATTTATGATAACAGTATAATAATTTCATTATTTTAGGCAAAAAATTATTATTATCATTTAAGTCTATCTACTCCCGACGTCGAAGTGGATACCGAGGAATTATCGAAAATTCGATGATCATACAAACAGATAGGTACTCAATTTAGTTCAAATTACAAATTATATTTTCAACTACCTGAGGATAGTGCAAACGACATACCCTTATTATGGTGCAAATTACAAACTCTTAGAACAATAAGAACCACAATTCCATTTTACCATATATCTAGCTGTTACAACCAGTAACATACCTAATTCATAATTAGCATTATCTTTAATTTAATTTCGATTACACTGTGGTATACCCAGCAAAATTTTGCTTATTATATTATATAAAATAGGTTACTACTAACTGATCAAACCAACCACTAATTAGTTGATACTTCACTACGCGCTTGCGTAAATGCTTATGTACAAAATTTCCTATTTTTTGTGTTGATATAAGTTCAGTAATAAAATAATAATAATTAAATTAAAATTAAAAAATAATAAATGGTTAACAATAGTAAATTAATATATAAATAAACAAATAAATGCTTAGTCTAGAGTATTATTATATTAGTAAAGTACGACCGGTTACGATTTAAAAATTCATCATCAAAAACACATAAAATTTAATAAAATTACGACTGAATATGAAAAATAAAATAGCAACTCATAGTTATTTTTTAATAATTATTTTTGTTCAGTATAAATGTTTGCATAAATATAATTGCTTTCTAGTTATATTTGCTTGTAAATGTATCATCGATTTTCACAATTTAAAAGTATATATTTTTATTTGTTTATTTATTTATATAATAAGTAACGTATTTAAAAAAAAAAAAAAAAATTTACGGTAAAATATTGTACATGTAGTAAAAGAAAAGGCCGCGTATTAATAGCAATACCGATTACATATAGAACATGTAATGATGATTTTGGAACACCATAATATATTCTCATTTGTTATTTTGTGTTTAGTGGATTTAAGATACATTGTTAATTTGAATATTAAAATAAAGTGTTCTATTATCAAACTTGATGGTTATAACATTACAAAAATATCTTCACTCAAGTTTTTTATGATATTTAAGTCTTTAAGCGAGTTATAAGTATATAGTTAATATTACACTTTAAAAAAACTCAAAATCCTCTTAAAAATATAAATATCCTTAAAAAAATTTATGAAAACATAGATAATTTCCTTTTCTTTAAATTTGATTTAAAGTCACTTTACTTTAATATTAAACAACACAAAATTGATTCTACTTAACGCAGATTTGCTACGTTGTAAGTTTTTAAGACGGAGACAATACATGCGAATTTAGTGTCTTCTCAATTATAGTTTGCTCTACATTTTGGTTTGAATCACATGAATTAAATATAACAATGGTTTTTAAAATATAGTAATAAATACTATATTTAAGGAGATTATGGGAGACGGAAGCATAAAAAACCGTAAATAGATCTATTTCAATTTTTTCTCAAAGAATAAATTATATCTATATCTATCACTTAGCCTATATAAAAAAAATATGGGTTATATAACGTTATTCAGACTTACATGTTTTAATTTTAAATCAAATATGTCTTAATATAATATATGTCTTATATAGTAAATAGGTACCGCCATATGACAAATACATTTTTGTTTTACTGTTTAACTTATAGTAATTTTTATTAAAGTACTATTTGCATTTTTGTATTTTATCATTTTTATTATGTAACCATTAAATTTATATTATTATAATTTATGAGTTATTACTTGATATTGATTTTTTTCAGATGTTAATATTGTTGTTTAGTGACACAAATTATGCATTAGAAGGGTTTGAAGCCTCTTATTATGTTTCTGATTGCCCGAGAAACTGTTCAAGTCACGGATTTTGCCTTCGAAATTTTTGTGTGTGCGATAATGAATGGGGTGGACCTGATTGCGGTATTGAATTATGTCCTGATAAATGTGGTGAACCTCACAGGGGAGTATGCAAACAAGGTCGATGTCACTGTCACAACAATTATTCAGGAATGAGTTGCACATTGAATAGTTCAGATTCTACAGGGAATAGGTTTGATATTTAAATGTTTTTAAATTTTTATTAGAGAATCACATACTTTTTATAAAATAAAATATTTTTTTTTTATATTTTAAATTTTAGATGGCATGATTTATATCAAGGAGGCATACATCCAAGAACTGCCCATTCTGCTGTCTATATTTCGGAAACAGACTCTTTATATGTTTTCGGTGGCTACGATTTAAATAATATTCTTGGTGATCTTGTCATATTTCGTTTTAACACTTCCATGTGGTATGACCAAAATTATAATATTATAGGTAATATTTTTTCATTCATAAGTAAATATGTGTTTATTTTAATGTACATTTTTACTTTTAATTTGTACATAATAGATCCTTTACATACTACAGTAAACTCTATTGGATCAGCCACTATTAATGCTCTTATGACTGCTAAATTAGGAGATACAACAATGGGAACAAATAGATCAAAGTACTTAACTTCTGATAATACTAGTCATGTAAATGAACACAAACGCAACAAACCATGGTCAGCAGTATTACATGATATTTTTGTATCGCTAGCTGATGATTCAACATTCCTCGAACACCAAAATGACGTAAATTATTTGCATTACTTAATTAAATATTGATAGTTTAAAGAATAATGAATTTGTTCAAACCTCAAACCTATTTGAAAGTATATTACTTTCTTTTCAATGTCTAACATATTTTTATCTTTTAATTTTTAAAAAAATTATTGTAGCCCTTTATGTACATTTCACTAACCGAATAATATTTTTTTAAATTTTAGAATGCTCGTAATTCTCAGTACGATTTTCCTAATGATGAAAATAATGAACATATAATGAATGAAATCAAACAAAAACGATTACCAGCACCGCGCTTTGGCCATGCAGCGACAAAGTATTATATATTATATATATATATATATATATATACCTACTTATGTATGTATAATGTAATATGTAATAAATCATTATTTATTTTAGATACACTGGAGGATTCATTATGTATGGTGGTAAGCTGAAAAATGGTCAACTGTCAAATGAATTATGGTTTTATAATGTACATTCAAAAAAATGGTTTTTACGAGCTCAAAATTCTATAGTCCAACCACCTGCTCTTACTAGACATACTGTAACTTTTGTGGAACAAACTAATAGTATATTTTTAGTTGGTGGAAGTAATAGTAAAGGATATTTTTCTTCTAAAATATTCTGCATTCAATTAAATATAGGTAATAATTATTTTTTATAATACAATTATTTTAGTATATTTATATTAATATTAGAAGTAAAAACTTTATTACAAAAAAATTCTTGTTATTAACTAAGTGAACTGTATAAATAAAAAATATTTTTACCGCAAAACATTTATTATTTGGAAATTCAATAAAACTTCCTCATATTAAATTTAATTAATTTTTTCTTTAATTGCTAATACTTTATTAAAAATTTAAAAAAAAATGTATTTATAGTTAAAAATGATTGAACTATTATTGTAATATTTTATACATCATTGTATAAAGTAAAAAAATCTTTTAAAATGCTGTCCAAAAAATTATTTTTTTTTATACCAGGGATGAGAAACTGGCGATCAGCATACTTTTTTTTTATTTGACATGTGCTACATTTTCTTTTAAAATCACGTTAGTTGTAGAATGAAGATATTATATTCTTATATAGTATTGAACTGCAGCTTAACTATTAAATATCTAAGTAAAATATGTATAAAGCTATAGGTATTAGGTATTTAGGCTTTTTTTTTTTTTTTACTCTGACCCATCAGATTTTGAATTGATCCTCTAGTTACTTTGATTTGTTTATCATGTAAAAATATGAAGGTTTATTTATATTACAAAAAGATTTAGTAGGTAACACTAATTTGTATTAAATTCTGTAAAAAAGAATGGTATTATGAATACATAAAAATATTAAATGTATTTAGGAATAAACTTTTTTGTAAATAATTTTGTACTCAAAAATCCAAATAATACAAACATATTACTAAAGCATTTTAATTAAATTAAAATTCGACTCAGTTTTCTAATATTTGTAAAAATAAGTTGCTTGTTTATTTATATAGGAATACTCCTGAAATTTTATTTTTCAGTCTAACTTAAATTTTTATTTAATAACAAAGTATTAAATATATAAATAATTTATTATAAATTATTAAATATTTATAATAATATCAATATAATTTAAATATAAAATATAAATTCTTGTGCAAATATTTACAACCTATTTTGTTTTAAAAAATTATATTTAGATATAATGTAAATGTATTCATTATTTATTATGCTTGTAACTAACAAACTGAATTAATTATCAAATATATTTAATATGTTTAATCGGTACTATTTTATATTTTATCATACTATGTACTCTAGTTAGTGTATATATCTTAATAACTGAATATAATTAAATTATTTATATTATTATACAAACTTTTAATGCTGAGATAAAATGTCCAATTTTAGATGATGAAAATGAGCAATGGAAAGAAATTAAACCAAGAGGTGGCAAGGAATTAAATTTTCGAGTGGCTGCTCATTCAACAGTGTACGATATTCGTTCACAATCTTTAATAGTTTATGGTGGAATTGTGACAAGTGCATCATGGTTTTCAAAACTAAGTGATCGAATGTTTATTTTTAATATACCATCACAACATTGGTCAGAAATAAAATACCCCCCAACAAATGTTCCCACAGAACGAGCCTTTCACTCAGCTAATATAATGGGTTTGTATATTTACTATCACTCCAATTATGTTTTCATAAAAAAATTACTATTTAATTAATAAGTTGCTGAATAATAATAATAATATACTTAAGGTCATATGATATTATAATACTTTGAAATATAATATTAACTGTATACAGTGACTAGCTTTCAATTTAATATACTAAAACTATGAGTTATTTAAATTTTTAAGCTTAAAATTTTGTAATCTAACAAAAAAAAAAAAAATATTTATATAAAAAAACTCAATATTCAAGAAGTCTAAAATTGTCAAGAAATATGCTTATGAAAAATCAGTTATAAAATTATCATATATTTATATATATATATATATTTTTTTCAAAAAGGTAAAGGCACTGATCAAGCCATCGCAGAAGTCACACAATTCATTTACAAATCTTTAGATGAAAGCAAAAAAATGCGCTACAGTATATTTAGACCTTACGAAAGCGTTTAATACTGTTGACCACAACATACTTTTACTCAAATTAAATAAACTAGGATTACGAAATGAAGCTTTACAGCTATTTTCTTCATACCTAAGTAATAGAAAACAATGCGTTAAAATAAATGAATCTATTAGTTCACTGTGCCTTGTAAAATGTGGAGTTCCACAAGGAACAGTTGTTTCTCCCATACTTTTTAACATACAACTAAACGGTATTCACTCACTCCCTTTAAAAAGTCAGCTAGTATGTTATGCTAATGATACAGTTATGCTATGTTCGGGCGATTCCTGGGATGAAATATTTAATATAATACAATTAGATTTAAAATTAATAAAAAATTGGTTAACTAAAAATAATCTATTTTTAAATTTAGAAAAAACGTGTGTTGTCCCTCATGCCTTAATAAATAGTATATTACCCACCGAAACAAAGATAAAGGTTCACAATATTCACTGTGTACAAATTAACAACTGTTTATGTGAATCAATAAATATAGAATATAATTACAAATACCTAGGTATCGAAATTAGTAGTAATATGAGATGGAAGAACCATATAGATCTATTAACGAAAAAACTTCGAAAAATGATGTACATATTAAGAAATTTAAATAAAGTTCTAGAATTACCAAAACTTCGGCAGATTTATCTGGCATTGGTGGAATCAATAATTTCATATGGAATAATAGGCTGGGGTGGCGTTTTTGAAAATACATTATCTCAGCTTCAAATTTGTCAAAATCAAATCATTAGGTTACTGCTCAATAAAGAGCGTATGTATCCAACAAGAAATTTATATACAGAGTTAAATGTACTCCCTGTTAGGAAACTATACTTCAAAATAACAGCAATTTTTTTAAAAAGTCATAACTTATTACAACCCATATTGCATGGTATCAACACAAGATACGCAAAAAACAATTTTTTAATTAAAAGAACTAAAAAAACAACAACTAGTAGATATTTTGAAGTAATCGGTATAAATTTATGTAACAAAATACCATCCGAAATAATAACCCTTACAATTAATTTATTTAAAAAAAGAATTTTGCAATAGATGTTGGAGTCTCATGACGAATTAATTATATAATCTGTTACAGTACTTTATAAACACAATATATTCAATTTTTATCTAATTTTAGTTTAAAAAAAAAAAAAAAAAAATAGCTATATGATTATATATTTTTAAGAATATACAACCTTCTTTTTTCTCTTTTTTATTTGTAATTATCTGTAATTCAAATGTAATGTTATCTTTGAACTCCTGGGCCCCCACACGAGTTCTCTCAGTGGGGCCCAGTATTCATATGTATGTATATATGTATGAAATTATATAAATAAATAAATAATATATATTAAATTTATATTTTAAGTATATATTAATATTTATTTTAGTTTTGGCTATATATTAATTTTAATTCATTATTTTTAGGAAATTACATTGTTGTTTTTGGAGGGTATACACATCGTCATGCAAAGGAAGAAATTTGTTATGATAATGAAATATATCTATATCATCTAGGTTGTAATACATGGATTAGTCGAGATGTTCTTGGGTTTTCAACCAAAGGTATACACTTAGATTTATATGTCTGATGCCCTATATATATATATAGGTATTAATTTGCCACTTTATATAATTAATTCTAGATAATGCTCACAAGAAATTACTCGGTGTATTTGGACATGGAGCGGATGTCCGAAACAGAAATACTTTAATTATTATTGGTGGTTATCGAGGCAATATAAATAATGATTTATTAGCATTTGTTTTACCACCAACATTAGTTCCTATTGGAAATGACTCATATAATTTAGAACTTATGTGCTCAAGGTAATAAATAATTAAATATAAATATAGTATTATTTAAATAATATTAATTATTTAAATTTTTAGACATAAAGGTCTTCAAGAGTGTACAGCAAATCTTGAATGTGGATGGTGTTCTTCCGATGACACTTGTTATGGACGCAATGGTGGTATAAATTGCACAACTAATTTACAAACAACACGATGTCCTGGCATCTGTTCGGCTTTAACTGATTGTCATTCATGTTTAATTCACGGGGAAAGTACTCCTTTCAATAATAATCAATCTACTACTTCAGTTGCTCATATCATGCAATTAGGTCGATGTGTTTGGTGCATACAAGATGGTAGATGTCATCATAAAAATGGTTTGTGATTATTTTTTACTGTACAAATTTATTTATTATATTATGGATGTTTAACATTTACTCTAGATCCTAACTAATGCGTTTGCGTTGCGTGCACGCACCGCAAAAACGCAACGCAAAATACAAAATAGTTTGTTTTTTGCCGCATGTAATAAACGCACGCACTAAAAACGCACTAGTTAGGACATAGCGTTATAATAATATAAAATATAATCCTTTATATATATTAATATGAATTTATATTTATTGTTTATATTTATTACCATATCTAAATTAATTTTGCTCAAATTATCTATTCATTACAGTTTTTTTTAATAATTCATACTATAGAATTTGATTTTAGTTTTAATTTGTGTAATTTAAATATAATACTATTTTTTGTTTTTTTTAAATTATAGTTTTCTATTCTAATTTATTGCATTACATGAATCTTATTTAGATTTACTTTTAAAATTAATGAATAAGTTAAAATAGAAATTTTGATTTATGAATATATTAGTTAAATTAAATACTCTTATAATTTGGTTATTTTAATATTTGAGCAGCTACTCAATATTAATTTTTAATAACTGCAATTTGATAATACATTATAATAAAATGTAGTGGTTATTTTATTTTTTTTAAATTGTATTGTTATAATTTAAAATCATATTCCTAATATTTTAAATTGTTATTTTATTTTATTTAAAAAAATTAAATTTGGGTTTTCAATAATCCTCCTAAAGTTAATTTATAGCTTTTATTGGTAATTTTTTTACATAAAAAAACTATAAAAGGTACCGTTTTACGTTATAAAAGTATACAACACCAAATATACATTTCTTTCTCCACTTAGAAAACAAAATAATTGTCAGACTAAACAAGTTATTTTGTATATACATTATATCTACCATATTTAGTATAATTTAAATAAATAAATATAAATAAATTTATTTTCATTACCACTTTTCTAGTTAAGGTTAACTTTTATAATTTATATAAAGTTATATTAATTTAATTTATGATTTATGATAATCACCTCACTATATATTTTTATTTTTTATTACATTTATGTGCATAACAGTTCAATAGTATGTTTAATTATGTATAGCATTTCATTGTAATAAGTCTTCAATGTCTATCTATAGTTAAACTTTACACGTTTTAACTTCTGCTTTTATTTTTCTTATTAGATAATTATGAGGTGTGTGGTCTACATAATAATATTTTTAACAATGGAGGAACAGAAGTTGCTTATCCAGATGATTGCAGATCTTTAGATAGGAGATCAGGATTGACATTTTACAAATATTTACATCCAGCAAATTTTTCACAGCCGGATTTAGTATGTTAAATTTTCTCTAGATATCAGTTAATTTAAATATGTTTATTTTTGATCTTTGATATTAATTATAATTAAACTATTTATTTAGGTATCTGTAGTTAATTCAAGTGTTATTGATGTTTCGTCCCATTTACCTATGTCTCGAGCAGATTTGTCTATTGGTGGCTCGATGATTGTTAAGCTCTCTGGATTTTTACGGTTTCCTCAGTTGTGGGATAATCACAAAGATCAATTACAATTATGCTCTCGGCTTACAAATACTCGGCTTATAATGACATCGCCATATATGTATCAACCTGTGAGTATAAATGTATATCATAATGTAATATAATATATCATATATTATATTTAGATATTATTGTATAATTACCTTTTTTTAAATATAATTAATTACTAGGAAATCAATATAACAATTAAAGCAGATAACTGGCAATGCTTACAATTATCTTCATGGTCTACTGAAGATCAACCATTTCATGCTCCTGAACGATACTTATTAGATTTGACTACTTATAAAAATATAACATTTTCGCAGAATACTGGTAATGCTATAGTAGAGTTACAACATAACAAAGGACATAATAATTCAAAGGTATTTTTAATTATTGTTTGCCACTTATTATTTTTAGAAATGTATGTAATATTACATTTTTAATAATGTTCACAGCCTTTTACAATGGAGTATCTTGAACCATACCATAGTAGAGATAGTTCAGTATGTTCTGACTATCAAAGTTGTTTCATATGTGTTAGTGATGCTAATTGTGCGTGGTGTGAATTAAAATCAGTTTGTACTACAAGAAATCAAACAGATTCAGTTTTTTGCCATAACAAGAGTAATATTAATGAATGGAAATATCTTGTTATATCACCTCAACTATGTCCAAACTGTTCGAATCATGTGGATTGTGTTGATTGTATTCAGAGTGGGTATTGTGAATGGTGGAGTCAAGAAGCTAAGTGCGAAAGACGTGGAAGGCATGTTACTTATGTCAAATAGTAATTTGTAATAATCATTTGGAATTTCAATTCTTTAAATCAAATCAAACATTTAACTTTGAATATTAACTCATAAATAAAAGTATATAATTCCTAGGAGTTATTTTTAAAATTCATTAGACTAAAATCTATTAATTTATTTTAATAATACTTGGATTTTATATTTTATTTTTAATTGTGTAAGTAATTACGATATAAATTTTGATTTGTTTTTTCTTTTGATACTGAAGATTATATAATAATTATTAACAATTGTACAGTTAAAATTCCTATAGGTATTTAATATTTATAATTTTTTTCTCCTACTGTTTTTAGATTACCTGAAGGAGTGGTGTCTGTTGAATCATGCCCAATTCCATGTTCAAATAGACATACATGTTCTGATTGTTTGGATAATGGTAGATGCGTTTGGTGTCGAGCAACAAATGTAAAATTTTTCTTTATTCATTTAAAACTTATTTTCATTAATTATAAATAATGTTATAGGAATGTTTTCATTTTTCTGAATATACCTCCGAATATCAATTTGGACGTTGCCGTGAATGGATTGATAGAAGTGTTCATTATTATGGATCAGGACAGATGCAAATTGATAAACCTTACTCAGCTTGTACTTCATGTGAAGAAAATATGAATTGTTCCAGTTGCCTTAAAACTCTTGGTTGCGGATGGTGTTATGACAGTAGTAATCCAATTCAAGGAATTTGTACTGGAGGCGATTTTAGTAAACCATTTATAGGTATGTTAACTAATCACTTTTTTAAATTGTTATTAATATTATTTTAGTTTTAACATACTTTGGGTCACATAAATGTAATATATAACTTAAAGAGATTATTGTATTTGTAATATTTTCAAGGAACTTGTTCTTATGTAATGAACAACATTACTTATGAAGAAGACACTAGTTGGGCATATGCACAATGTCCTGATGTTGATGAATGCGGTCTTGGACTACACGATTGCCATAAAGAAGCTAAATGTACAAACACTCAAGGATCCTATAGCTGTCAATGTAAACGAGGTTTTATTGGCGATGGAAAACATTCTTGTACTAGAACGTATGTATTTTTTAATGTAGGAAAAAAATAAAATAAAATATTAAACTTTTTATTTTATATTTTATTTTTAGATGTTATCATAAATGTGTGAATGGCTATTGTATTGGTGCACCTGACTATACTTGTAAATGTGATCTTGGATGGACTGGCCCCGATTGTGCAATTAACTGTGGATGTAATAACCATTCAACTTGCAATGATCGATCTGGTATATGTGATCAGTGCCAAGATTGGACCACTGGACAGTTTTGTGAATACTGCAAGTAAGTGTAATAAGTTAAAAATAACTATACATCTCTATTTGCTATTTTAATTTTAGAGCTGGAAGTTATGGTAATGCGACATCACTTGAAGGATGCCATAAATGTGATTGCAATGACCACGGAGATGAACAATTAGGTATTTGTGATTCTAGTTCTGGTAAATGTTATTGTAAACATTATACCGAAGGAGATAATTGCCAATTTTGCAAAAAAGGATTTTTTGGAGATCCACAGTAAATACTATTATTTATTATTTATTGTTTAATTATATGCTTTATAGCTGCTTATTAAATAACTAGATAATTAATTACTCCTCGTTTTCTAATTAGAAGTTTAGGCTTCAAAAATATAATTTATTTTAATGCCAGTTTATTAAAAAATATAATTTTAGTATTTATAATAATTATACACCAACTTAATAATTTTAATTTTATTTGAGAAAGTATATAAAATAAATTAAGTTAATATAAAAACTCATAAATTTAATATTTTTATATTTTCTAGTTTCTATTATGAAAATATATCAATACTTAATTTAATTTTACATTATGTACACTTTATATTAATATTATTATATAAAATTATTTAATTTGATAGAAATGGCAATCTTTGTTATCACCAATGTATGGCCAGAGGAATTTTATCTGGCATGGGTCCTCAAGGTTTTGGATCAAAATCTATAGAAACCAGTGCTTGGGAAACACGTTTAGAAGGTCCACCATCAAAAGAATGTCTTTGGATAATTGATCCTGAAAATATGCGTAATAATTCAACAGCGATGTAAGTGTATTATCTTGGTATAATAATATTAAAAAAAAAATATTTATGTATAATATATTGAGTTCGGGACTTATTGCCCACAAATTTTAGGAAATATGCACTTAAAATAACCTAAATATGCACAAAAATGCAACTGAATATTTTTTTAATGGTAATTAAAATATTTGATTTATTCAAATTATATATGTTTTTTTGATTTCAAGTGTTGAGTAATCAAATATCACCTATTTGTATTTATTTTTGTTTCACAAAATTTATAAAACAAAATAATTCTATCACTTGAAAAAATATTTTCTCCAAATTCTGTGATATATTGTGTAATACGCGTATTGTTTGTTGTTTTTGGTATCTTTAAAATTACCTCAACTACAAAAATTACGGTATATATAAGTCACGGCACACGAAAACAAACCGAAAATGTATTTTCTTTTTACATATTGTAAACGATGTTGTCCTATCCTGACTTCTTCTATAATTAGTTATATTTACCAATGTATGAAATTAAAAAAATAATGTTAACCTTTAAAATAAATGTATTTAACATCAAACAAAAACTGCGTAAATATGCTATAAATAACAATTAAATTGCCAAAATGTCAAATATGCGTTTTGCTGAGAAAACGGCAAAATATACGAAAATTGCAAAAAAAAAAAATTAAAAAATTTTTGTAATACAATTTTTTATGATTTAAAATAAATTGATATCTTACTTAGGTTATTCTGCAGTCATTATTAAATAATATGCAAATACAACAAGTCCCGAACTCTAATAATATATATTCAAAACATTTTTTGAAATTTTAAAATGGTAAATTCAAACTAACATATATAGAAAATTCCTTATAAAACTAACTTTTTATAATAAAATGAAATTTTTAAATTTTTTAGTTTACAAATATACGAGTTGGTTGTAATTAAGTGCAGCATAATATGTATTTACCATTCCATTTTCTTGAATTCTATTCTACTATTTACTTCCAAGGAAAATGTAATTATTTCTTATAAATTATAAAAAATAATTACATTTTTTTTTATTCAACCTTCTTTCATTTGAACTTCATTAATTAAATACAAGCTCCAAAAATACATATTCTCCGTGTATAGAATAATAATTTCTTCTTTAATAGGTAATATTAACTTAATGAGAAGGTTTTTACATGGGGTTAAATTTTATAGGAAATAAGACTTATTTTTATTTATTATACTAATATACTTGAGTTCTAAATTATATGTCTTATTTTACGTTTTTCATTATAATATATAATTGTAGAATGCAGCATATTTTGTTTTCAATACATACATCAGGCCTTTTTTTAGGAAATCAACATTATATTGTTAATGTATTATACGAAATTGAGCATGAATCCATAAATTCTACAGTAGACTTTGAAAATCAATATTTTATTAATGTTAAGTTTGTATTATTTCAGTGGATCCTATGTGATACAATTAACAATTGATAGTGACATAAATGTTCCTTGTGGTATGAATAGTGTCTACGTATATGATGGACTACCAAATTTTGTATCAATGTCTAGAACACATCCAGCTCATTCACTTGGTGTTTTTTGCACTAGAGACTCTCAATATCCTTTAACAATCGAAGGTGTTACTGGTATGTATACAAACTACTTTATATTATACATACTATAATATTTCATTAAACAAATAACAATAAATTTAGGTGTGATGACTATTTATTATAAACAATCTGAAATTACTGAAGGGTTTAATGCCACATATGTTGTATTCAGTTGTCCAGATTTCTGCCCTTCAAACCGTGTTTGTCATAATAACCGATGTGTATGTCAACATGGAAGTACTGGTGTTTCTTGTAAAGACTTAATTTGTCCAAATGACTGTAATCATAATCAAGGGCATGGAAAATGTGATCATGTTCGTAAATTTAAACCACAAAATCTTTATAGTTTTTGAGTAATGTATTCTGTTCAATTTACTAGGAATATGGACGTTGCATTTGTGAAAGTATTTATGAAGGAGAAGACTGTTCAATACCAGTTCCTGTATCTAGTCATTTGCGACAACCTCTTATATTCACAGACCTTTTTAATTCTGCACATGTATCAGAAAATTTAGATCATTTGCGTCAAACATTACCACGTTTTGGACATTCAGTGGTTGCAACAAGGCGTGGTCAATTATGGTTGTTTGGTGGTTATTCGCTGTCTCATGGTCCTTTAAATGATATTCGTTTATTTGACTCTAAAAACAATTCATGGATGCAAGTATGTAAATTGAAATAGCATTTATTAAATATAAATTATTTCTTTGTTGTTATTGACAGGTAACAGTAGATGGAACAAATGATGCACATATGCCAAATGGGAGATATTTTCATGCTACTGAAATAGTACATTCTCGAAGGGAAATATTTGTTTATGGTGGTTTGACACAAATTCAAACCGCGTTTGGCCGCTCTACAAAATATTCAATGAAGATTTTATCAGACTTTTGGAAATTTAGTTTAAATGATCAAAGATGGATTGGTATAAAGGTAATAACTTATCACTTATTTAAAAAGTTTTATATTTCTTTAATAAAGTCACAACAATACAAACTATTAGAATCATTTAAAAACTAATTTTAAAGGATCTAATTAATTATTATAGTATTGAATTAGGTTAATTTTTAGTTAATATAAAAACTTTAAAATTTTTGTTGTGTTATTCTGATCTATTTTATTTAAAGGTAAACTATCATGTATTTAAATACTTACTTTAGTATCATTTTTATTGTGACATATAATATGCAAAAAGTCAAATTTTTATATCTTATGATGTGTATACTTTGTGGGGTTTATTGCTGAGAAAGTTGATACATATTGTATATATTATTTTTACTTTAATAAGTAAAATTGAATATATTCAAATCCAATTTTGTTTTCATTATATTTAATATTTATTGTATATATACATTTAATTTAGGTAATAAATATTTTTCTGCACTTGTATAATTTGTATTTGAGTGAAATTATATGGTATTTAAAAATTACAGACAAATTATGATCCACCAGCATTAGCCGGTCATACATTAACATTACGATCAGTTGGTGAAAAAGAAAGTCTTATATTAATTGGAGGTTTTAGTCCAGATAATGGGTTTCTTGAAGATGTATGGGAGTATGATTTACAATTAGAATCATGGAAAAAGTTTAAAATAAATGGCTATGGACCAGCTGGTAAGTTTCTCACAAGACTTCATTCAGCATTACTTTATCTTTACTCTTTTTTTGTTTAATCAATATTTGTATAAAGATAACCTTGACTAATATATTTTCCATAACTTGAATTAATAGGGATATATGGACATAGTACAGTATATCACGCACCAACTGACAGTTTATATGTATTTGGTGGTTATATTTATTCTGTTAATCAAACAATAATGACAGATAAGTTATTTGCACTCAACTATAGCCAACAAATATGGACTGTTTTACCTATTTTTAAAGACTATAATCCTCCAAAAAATAGCCTAGTAAGTGAATTTTGTCAATAATATATATAATTTTAATGTATAAAATTGAATAAATTGCTTATAAAATATATTTGATGAATCACTGTAAAATATGATTTTTTAATTATAAAAACTATTAAACTATTAAACTATAAAATATATTTACTTAGTAAGTATTCTTGTATTATATTTTACATTTTATTATGAATAATAACATTTCATTTTTCCAAATAGGAAATTACTAAAAAAAAAGTTATTAAGAATATGTATTATTTATAATAATAATTAAAATAATAATCTTTATTAAATGGAATTACATTCCCATTAAAAATATAATATAATAATGAAAATACGAGTACATATGTTATATTAATCAGAGGCATAACACAATTTAAAATAGTTATAAAAAGTAGAATAAATCTCATTATTGAAGTATTAACTAGATTTATGAATAAAAAACGTTTTTTCAATGAGTTTTCAATTATATTTTGAAGTAGTAGTTTACATTAATAAATGCATTATATTAAAATAAATAACTTTCTATCACTTAATTCAGCCAATTTATTTTTCTTTAACATGTTTTATTTTATCATATTTTACCTTCTCATTATTAAATTTATAAGAAAAATTACAATGACATGTCTATTACATTTACAAATGTATTAAAAATTAGTGTTAGGCTATTGACAAAAAAAAATATTAAAAATGTTTTTCTTGTACGACCACAATTTAAAAGAATATATGTTTTGGAAATATTAAACATTTTCTTCGTTTTATTATTTAAGCCTAGAGGACGATTTTTACATTCAGCTATTACAACTGATGAATATATGTTTGTTTTTGGTGGAAGAACTGATCCACCAAGTACAAATGATACTCTTATTGCTTACTCTTATGCATGTAATCAATGGATACGTTTATTAACACCAGGTATATTAAAAGAACAAATATAATGTACAGCTCATAAATGTACAATGTTAATATCTTTTATGTTTTAGATATATTTATAATCGGTTTGCCACCACCTCCTACTCATGCTCACGCAATGACACTAGATTCAGAAACTAAGTCAATGTACATTCTTGGTGGTTTTGCTGGTGATATACAATCTCGTGTAACTCGTATTCAGTTACCACAAGATCTTTGTAATCTTTGGTCTGGAAAACGAGATAAATGCAGGTCAGTAGTTAATTTGTAATTAAATCAAATTCTGACATTTTAAATTAGTAATTTTGTCTTTAAGTTAATTAGATGGTACAATAAAAAAAACTTCGCTATTATATTATAATTTATTTTTAGTTAATAATCAAAATTTTTTATAAATATAATTAACTTAATGTTCTTTTTATTACCCAAATTAGATCACTTGTTGGATGTTCATTTTGTCAAGTGATAGGAACGAATGTCAGCTATTGTTTTACTCATCAAGGTCCTGGTTTCAATCCATGTGTCTCGATTAATGGTACATCTCGAACAAACAATGGAGTTTCTTGTAATTCAAATTGGATATCTAGTCGTTCTTGCGAACAATATACAACTTGCACCGATTGTTTAGCTATGTGGCCGAACAATCATTATGAAAACTCTAATGTATGTTCAAACTAATTCTATGTAATATTATAAGCTTATTCAAATACAATATTAATTATGATTTTAAGGTTTGTTCATGGTGTGCAAATTGTGGTACAAAAGGTCAGTGTGTAAAAGATCCTTCAAGTTGTGATAACCAATGTAAGACTGTGACTAAAGTAGAAATGTGTCCAAATATTCAATGTTTGGCAACTGATTGTGAAAAATGTCACGAACAAGGAAATTGTTTATGGACTCGGTAAGAATTGATTATCTCTTAAACTAATTAAATTATAAACAATTTATTTATATAATTTAGGCAAGTACGTAATTCTGACTTTGGAACACTTTTGACTGGAGAATCATTGTATGATTGGAGTTGTTCTAGTATAGATCTGAATCAACGATCTAACTTTAAAATTAAAAATTCTACTTTTTGTCCAGAACGTTGTTCTGCGCATAAATCTTGTGAAACATGTTTATCATCTCAGGTAAAGTATTTATAAAGTAAAATACTTATAATTAGTGTATAAACATATATAACCTAAAATTATTTACATTTTATAGGGTGGAGAAGGAGGTTGGCATGAATGCAGATGGTCAATAACATTAAATGAGTGCATATCTCCTAGCTACCAACCGTTGTATTGTGCTGGAGGCGTTTGCGGTCTTGTTCTTATTAGTAGCAACATAGATCGTTGCCCTCAACCTTGTTCAAGTTACACCCAATGTTCAACTTGCTTGCGCCATACACATTGTGGATGGTGTGCTTTAAATGTGTTAAACAAAACTGGACAGGTACATTTTTGTGATTAGAAATATTTTTACTGAAGATTCATTACACACTTTTTTCTTTTTTAGGGAATATGTACTGAAGGTTACATGTCTAGCCCAGCTTCTGGTCCTAATCATTCATGTCAGGAATTACTCCAAAATTTGAATACTGAACCAAAAATGTCAGCCTATCAAAATTTAGAACCCCATGATTTTATCTATGGAATAGATGATACTCTTATATCATCGACAGATGTAGCTTTATTAAATAAAGAATCAAACTTAAATAATTCCGTCGCTTGGTATTATGTAACTTGTCCACCTGAAAATGAATGTGAAAATGGTCATCATAGTTGCAATTCAGAAAGTGAAGAATGCGTTGATCTCGCTGAAGGATTTCATTGTGTGTGTGGAATAGGTTATCAACCAGATGATAATTCTCAATGTATACCTATTTGCAATCAAGGTAATAAATAGTAAAATAAAATCTAAATTATTTGATTGGTATTATATATTCACATCATATGAACATTAACATAGATTTTAATTTAAAATTTAAAAACAAAAATAGTCAAGAACAATAACATATTTCTTTTTAGGTTGTGTTAGAGGTGAATGCATCAAACCTGATGTCTGTCATTGTGATTTTGGTTATGTTGGTTCTAATTGTACGATCCAATGTGAATGTAATGGACATTCTGACTGTGCTGGCCCTGATCGCTTAACTGAATGTTTGAATTGCAAAAATAACACTCAAGGATCCCAATGCCAGCGATGTAAACCATTGTATGTAGGTAACCCGGTGGAACACATTCAGTGTGTACCTTGTTCAGATTACTGCAATGGGCATGCTAATATATGTGTGGAAAAATTTGATACTGAACCATTTGAAAATATTTTAAGTATTATTAATGATCCTAATACCATTCTTATGCAAAACGATGGCCCTCTCTCTGATGCTTATTGTATTAACTGTATGGACAATACAACAGGTCCAACATGTTCAGGTTGTTTACCTGGCCACTTTCGAGGTTCCAATGATAATCGAGATCCTTGTAGGCAAGTATCATATTAATAGTTTTATTTTAATTAATGATAAACATTCGTCTTTCATCCTCATAATTTAGGCCTTGTGAGTGTCATGGTCACGGAAGTACATGTGATCCAATTACTGGAGAAAAATGTGACTGTCAAAATAATACTGAAAGTGACACAAATTGTCAGTCTGGCAGTGTACCTCATCATCGGTCATTAAAAAACATTGTTCAGCTTTGTTGGATGCACCAGTGTTCAAAGTGTAGAGAATCATACATGGGAACACCAACAGATGGTCATCAATGTTACAAGCAAATGAGTGTTGATTATAGATTTTGCCTTGATGCCAAACTGCTTGATGAATGTAAAACAAAACCAAATCCACTTTATCCGGGACAAACAGTATGTACAAAAATAAATTGTTTTAAATTTCATATATTTAAATAATTTTAAGGTTTATAACAATTAAAAACCTCTGGAAAAATATATTAATATGAGTGTACCTTATAATCATGTAGTGTTATAAATTATTAAAATTATTCAAATCAAATGCACACAGAATTGATAAATAATTTAGTTCAATTTTAATAAAAGAAATATAAATTAAAAAATTATTTTGGAAGTTCACATAAATTAATTTCACCAAAATTAATAAAATATCAAATTTATAAAGTAGCATTACATGATATTTTACCATAACATTTTTTAAGCTATAATTTTTAAGTTTCATTACAATACCTGATGTCTTTTTTTTTGTTTTTCAGTCATTTTTTGTAGTTCAACCACGTTTTATGAATGTTGATATCAGAATCACTGTTGACATAACTCAAGGAGCTGTTGATTTTTTTTTGACGTCACATGAAGATATATTCATAGTTACTAAAAATAAATCTCTAAATAGAAATGTTTTTGATTTTGATCCGAGGTAATTATACAATTTATCAGGCAATCAAATTATCCTTAAGAACTTAAAATTAATAATTCAAGTTAAATGCTTTCAACTACTAAGAATATATTTTGCTTAAGGTTTGAGTGGTATAGTGAAATGGAAACAATTGAACAAGTGAGTAGCAGTTCAAATACTTCTAAAGGTTCAAAACATTTATTTACATATCAAGAGCACAAAACAAAAGGTTTATCTACTTATGTTACAATGAAAAAAAGTATGTCTCTATTAATGGTCAAAAATGTCAATAATAGGTATGTACATAATGTGTCTTTAGATTATCAATTCACACACAGATTAACCCCTTGATTTTTAGATTGATTATTACTCTTCCACATGACAAACATGATTTATCAGCAACAAGATATTATATGGCATTGATGGCAATCTCGTTACCAGTACAAGCTACTCATATAGTACCAGTACCTACGTATGGAACAGTATTTTTTAGACAAGACCAGCTTCATATTGATCTCTTTGTGTTTTTCTCTGTATTTTTCTCGTGTTTCTTTCTATTTCTTGCTGTGTGCGTTGTCGGATGGAAAGCAAAACAAGTAAATACCATTATTATTACCGTTTTTAACACAACACAGTAACACTAACAATGGTTTGTTTTTAATTTTTTCTAGGCAGCTGATATGCGCCGAGCTCGCAGACAACAAGTCGTAGAGATGTTGCACATGGCCAAAAGACCATTTGCGTTTGTAGCGATTGTTCTGAACACATCCCAACAACCAGAAACTAACCAGGCAGCTAGATTTGGTGACATAAGACCAATAGCAATCGAACCTACCAGTGATGCCAATGCTGCAGTGACTACATTGTTGATAAAATTGCCTGACCGTGGACAACAGTCTACAGGCACTAGGTTGGCACTAGGCTCTACTTTAGTGTTGAATATGCTCAATCCAAGAGGTGGTTATTTGTCTAACATGCACAGACACCATTATAATGCTGGTGGTCCCAGACAAAGAAGGAATGTTCCTCAATAATCGTGATATTTAATTCATGCAAATTCAATAAGATAAATTATCAGTATTACTGTATAATAATATTAATTATATGCGTTACTTAAGTACTTTTAACACATACATTACACTTATTCATAATTTAACTTATATGTCGTGAATTTCTTAATTACAAACAATAAACCTCATAGATTATCAATTAAGCTCAAATATTAATGTCCAAATATTTTTATATAAGCATTTAACAAATAAAGTGAACAACTTCAAATGACTCACTGACCAATAATAATTATAATATTTAATAAATGTTCATAATTTTACCCACACGAAATTAGAAAATTTAACTAAGTATAATTTTGTGATTGTTTAATTTTACCTTTTTTAGCTGTTACCAATTCTCTATCAACTCTCTAATTTTGATTTATCCTATTATTTATTATTTGTATTTTTTAGTTTATAGGAGTAGTATCAATTATTATCCATGTCTTTCCATTAATGAACTGAATAATTTTTGACTACTCTTTGCATTATTATTATTTAATGATATTAAACTATATTTATTGATCTCTTCAATTTGATTTGTATATACTATTATATTTATGTAAATAAATCAAAAAAATTTAAAAAAAAAAAATTAATACTCTTTACAGTTAAATTTAAGGCAAAGTGGTTAGGTAAACAAGTTAAATGTAGGTAAACATCTATAACTATTATAAATGTTTTCATTAAGTCTTAAAGATATATTAAAATTTAATTTATAAATTTTTTATTTTGATACATGTTCCAAGGTTGTATTTCTTCCAATGAAATGTTAATTTTATTGAAACAAATTAAAATTAGTTATATTTAACAGGGTCCACATTCCACATACTTAACATTAAATACATATTTATTCAGTTAAATTGTACATAATTAAAATAACCATATGTATTTAGTAAATATTAAGAATATCTAATAGTTTTTAATATTTGGTTGAGGAAAGGTAGTAATATAGAAAGTGTATCTTTTTTCATCTATTTATGTTTTCAAAACAGAAAAGCTTATATTATTTAGAAACATGTATACAAAAACAAAAAAAAAAAAAACACACAAATTAAAGAGTTCAAATTAAGTTTAAGTAGATATATATTGATTCAAATATAATAATATGCTATAACGGCCTTATAAAAATTAATTTTTCGTAATTATAATTCGATTTTAATCATATTTATTTTTTGATGATACCTAGAGTTTAATGAATATTATTATAAGATTATAATTGTATTGCTTAGCACTTATTTTTAACAATATTTTAGTGATTGGTCTTGGCCTACAGCTAGAATATTATCCAGGAAATTTATATGTAGTGGTTTCCCGTTGCCTCCTGAACAAATAGAAATATGACATTCTTTCTTGATAGTCGTATTATTTTGTTCAGCCATTCCATCCCTTAATGATATAAATGTAATATAATATGTTATATTCCATAAATTGTATAGTATATCTTTTAAACTATTATTCGTTCTTCCGCTTACTACTGTCGTCTCAGATGGATTTTTTTTTCGTTCTAATGTAATGTCATTTTTAACTCAAATTGTAATAATTAGGGTTTGGGACTTACTGAACACAAATTGTAGGAAATATGCATACACATATGAACTTAAAATAACCAAACTATAAGCAAAAACATGCAACTAAATTTTTTATAATAGCAATTAATTTCTTTTTTTAGTTGTTGACAACTATAACTCTATAAGTTTAAAACTGTAATACTACTTTGTATGATTGAATTAATTTTCTTTGTCCTTTTCTTCTAAAATGAAAAAAAAGGTTTAAAATTATAATAAAATGTAAAATAAAAAAGAAAAAATGTTAACTTTTAGAATAAATTTACTTCACATAAAACATGAAAATGAGTAAACATGCTCTTAATAACTATTAAATTTAAAAATATCTGTCTAATATATATTTTGTCTAAAAAAACAGCAAAATATGAAAAATATGGAATTCAAATTTTTATATTTCAGTCCGTTATGTCATAAAACAAATGTAGGTATATCTTACTCAGATTATTTCACAGTCATTATTAAAAAATATGTAAATGCAGCAAGTCTCGAACCCTATATTTAATATGTATTTTTGACAAATATAAAAAGCGACAAAAAAAAAATAACATCTCTGATTCTCTTTTTAATATAACATATTAAGTTTGACTATTGTTAAATGTTAATTGTACATAATGTCATAACTTATATATTATATTGAATATATTTTCTAATGTAGTGTTATACTTCAGATATATGTTTTTATGCGTTTGCTCTGTTAATTTATTATTATTTTTTTGTTTTTTATTTCATTTTTGTTTAAAACACTTTAAATAATAAAACGTGATATTGAATATTTACTATCTAGTTTTGTTTTAATTTTTATAGCTTATAATATTCTACACATCCCAAAATACAAGGCTGTCGATAAAAATAAATGGTAAGATAATTCATTCTCAACTTACATTCTAACTTACCATTGTTTTCAATTTTGACATTTACCAACATGGGTAAAATTTCAAATTTGTTTATCAAAATCGACAGCAAAAATAATAGTAATATTAACATATTCGTCGTATGCAAACCTTAATTGACGTCATCCGATACGCCAATTATAATGTGCTTATATTTCGATGAACATCAGAACCTGTACTTTAATTTTATGTCAGCGTTGTCTATTAACATTGTTAAATATGATTTTTCAAACCGTTTCTAAAAATAACCATTTACATTTCCATTTACGTACGGTGAAACAATATTCCCCTTTATTGAATATTTATGAGTCTAAATTTTAATAAAAAATGTATAGCGCATTCGCGCGTTACACATGATCTTATCTTCAGGTGTTTTCTTACAAACAATGTAGGTACCTAGTAGTTATAACCTACACTCGCACGCATCCAAAATGTAACACGTTATTTTCGAAACTAGATAGATGATACGATTGAATAAATAAAAAATGTTATCCTCTCCAGGTTGTTTACAATTATTGTAAACGTACATGTGGGGCACCTACGAGTTTCTTTCTAAACACGCAAATACCTGGGTCGGAAATTATTCCTAACATCGCACCGAATTATATTTATGATAACGTAAGTGACACACAGGTATTTTGGTATTTAAATGTTAAGGAGCAATGCATAAATACCGGAGCGGAAAAATACCGTTTACGAGCACTGGTGTAATCATCGTTGGCGGCGTTAAATTTAGCAATGCATATATGTATGCTTTCAAGTAATTGTTAATATAATTTCGTTCATCAAATTACAATTGGATTATTTTATACTCATATGTATTAGCGAATTTTTTCACTGCGGCGTAAGCACAATTATTTTGTTTTTGTTTCCTTAAACAAATATTGTGTACAACATAAGACACAAAATTCCCGAAATCGCTATTGACAAACAATAAACGCGCGTCGTACGGTCGAATAAGATTGCGAACGTTGAGAAAAAATAATAGTAATAAAAAATAACGGAAAAAATTATGGAGATCGCTGAACGGTCAACTGTATCGGCAAAACTACATCAAGGGCCAATGTACTTCAAATGTTTTATTCATATTTTTTTACAATCCGTTCGACGTGCATTGATATTTTATCATGCATTGCGCCGTTAGTTATTCGCTGCTCGCATTTGAATATTGTAACATACGGTTTTTTCACGTAACTCGATTATACCTACTACTGCAAATTGAAATTCTTGATCCGTCTTACCCAGTGCAGAAGTAAACAAACATTGCGCCCTGGGCGAAACTTCAAAATGCGCCCTTATGTATTTTTAATTTGAAAATATTACGCTTATTAGATATTGTTTTCAATGATCGATTTAATTGGTATGAAGGATGTTAATGATTTTGTAAACAAAATACACGACATTGACCGTTGTAATTTTTAACGTTAAATGCAAGATTTTTGTTTCCGCGCCTTTTCCAGGAATTGCGCTCGGGGCGTGGGCACCTATCGCTACCCCCTTGCTACGGCCCTGGTCTTACCCGAACAAGTACGGAAGCGTAGACACGGATATTCTGCATAAAAACAAATCGATTTTTTCGCGTTTTCAAAGGAAAATTATTTACGAATGGTGTATAAATACAATTATGTATTGAAAAAAAAAAAATGTAAAACTGTAAAATTATTTATATCATTTAGTGGCGTATAAAATGTGTATGTATTTACGAGTAACTTTACACGGTATTTTATCGCGACATAGGTATTGGTTTGATTTTGATTCGCGCGTGGGGATGGGACATTCTTCAGACCAACATGGAACCCCGCCGTGCTTAGTGTTAGGGTGCCTTCACACGTAGCCACTTGGCGCTTTTTAGCAGCGCGTCAATGGCGCTGCTCGTGTTTTTAGAAGCCCGTCAGTGGCGCTGTTCATGTTTTTGGAAGCGCGTTAGTGGTGCTGCTCATATTTTTAGAAGCGTAATTAGTGGTGCTACGAATGTGTATCGGTAGACAGTTTGTGAAGACAAAAACATACCACATCAGTCTCAAAATGGACGTGGAAACTGAATTATTGCTGGCGATGTTATTAATTAAAAAAAGAAAAATGTAAAAATACACCAAGAAGATTCTGGGTACATCCACTGCTTCTGGAAAGACCGAACAGAGGATTATTTAATACACTATTTGATGATATAGAAGGAGATGATGAAAATTTTTTTTCATATTTTCGTATGTCAAAAAATACATTCAAAGAACTTTTATCTGGTATCAAAAATAAAAAATAAGAGCTATTGACAGCACTCGGAATGATCAATAAAGACTGATATTAAAATAATAATTGAACTCGTTATGCGGATTAATCGAAATACTAACGCGCTGCTGACCAGCTACAAAAATAGACGCGCGATTGTGGTTGCGTACGAAACCCCCAATCTAAAAGCACGTTCTGTCTCGAGAAGCGCGACTTTTAGACGCAGCGTTCTGTGGCGAAGTCAACCGCTGACGCTGTCTGTGGCGCTACAGATCAGTGGCTGTGGTCGTGTGTGAAACCATCCGTATGCGTTGGTATTCTTCCATTGGCAGCGCTGCTAAGAAGCGCTGCCGAGTGACTACGTGTGAAGACGCCCTAAGACGTTCGAGAAAACGGCGCGGTTTTCCCGAGCACTACCAGTGGAGGGCCGGGCATTCGTGTACGGGTAATAGCGTTTGCGCGCGATAAGTTTTTCGGACGCGCAGATTACATTTTAATCGCATCGATTTCATCGTACGTGGACGTACGCGCGGGGCGATAACAAAATATTGTTGTACCGCTGCTGTTGTTCGCTGAACCGGACGGGCCTGCACGTTAAGGTACGTTTTCCGACGCGTTTTTTCTTTTTATTCTTGCGTCGTCTACGACGTAGTACGCTTGACGCCGCGGTCCGCTTGTTCTTTTTGTAAATCTATAGCAACGTTTTCCTACAGGGCGCAACACGTTCCGCGTCGGCGCAATAAGCTCGGCGCCGCGATTCGCCGACCGCGGCGGTAGAGCGAGGGTCCATTGCGCAGCGTCCCGTCGGACCGTTGGTTTTGTTTCCGTTCCGCGATTTGCTGTTCTGTCGATCGCGTATGAAAAAAATGGTCCTGTTGGGCCGAACGTTCGTTTTTCGGACGGACGAATTCGTTAGCAATCGTCGAACACTATCCGATGATTTACTCGTAGCGTTGCTGTACACGCTGGTCACGCGTACGGATTAGTCGACCGAATTGTTCGACGCGCAGCCACTAGTTTTGTAGGAAAACACTTCTGCGCCGCGTCATACGTTTTGCGCTGACGCCGACGCGATCGATATCTGCAGCGCGAAAAACGCACCTCCATCCGTTTCGCACGCGTTTTCGATTCGATCGGCGATTTCGACGAACTTCGTGGAAAAATCTCACGCCGCTGTCCGCGCTATATGTAGGTACACAGGTTGGCGGACATAGAAATTAAAAAAAAGAGGGGATGTCTAGTAAAGCGAGTTACTGCCATGATTCGTTGCGCATGCACGAAGTCTTTCTAACGTATCATTTTTTAAATATTTTAAATACCTACCTGATTCTAACCGATATATAAGGGGTGGGAGGGCTTCAATCCCCATATCCCCCCTTTGTATCTGAACCTGGCTATACCTGCCGCGGTATGAGCGAATTACTGTCACGAACGTTTTTGTGAGGTTCGAATAACGTTTACTCGAAAAAACGGCATCGTATGTTTCTGATTATTCGCACACCCGTGTCCCAGTATTTCGTGTCTCCAACTTGTGGGTGTTTAAAATGCATTAAAATTATTCGAACCTCTCAAGTATCAGCTGCCGTGTAGTTATGTGTGATGTGTATCAAGCTGAAATAGTTTTACCTAATGTTGTGCACATCCAGCGGCGTACACATAACTTTTGTTTATATATATATATATATATGATAAGTTTGCGAAAAAGTTTGTTTGAGGATTTTCGGATAAAGCCTCCTCCCCCAGTCACACGAGTTTCCTAAGAGTTGCCTTTGCGTTAATTACAGTTAATTACAGTCTGCAATCATGATTTGCTCAAACAATATTATTCTCGACGTAATACGTAAATACCTGCTAGTATGGACTACGCACCGATATTTTTCTGAAGCGCGCATATTATCTGAGCAAAAATCGTGGTGCGATCGTGAGCCCTCGTACGCACTGCGTAAAGTTGATAAAACGATATTATTGTATAGAATTATGGACGAATAACGCAGTGGCGAGCAACACGCGCGTAGCGTTCAGTATTAAATATTTTACTGGAGCACCGATGAAGATCTTGAGAAGAAGGTTCTAGCAAGATCTATATTATTATTATTCGTATTGCGATAACATTACGATACCGACGAGCGTCGAGTACACATAACGCGGATATTTACCAGGGAAATTGACCGATAATGCGATATACTGTGACCAGGTTATTTTTGCTTGTAAATATTAATGAATATTACACTGAAAACTCGTTTTTAATCACAATAGTCTACATATCAAGTGGATATATTGAGGTACATAACACGTAATCGACATCGGTGTTCCCATAGGGTATCTGCGTACACGCCGTACATTTTTAACATTATTTTCCAAGTTCACCAGTATAATACGTGTACTCTTAAGTTTCAGGCACTTCGCGGAGACGTATTAAACGCAATTAGTTTTACGTGCATCATATCATGATTTTGTGACAGACACCTATTTTGTAATAGACATACAGTTTTTCATCCGTCAGACGATTAGTGTATTATCTACTACGAAATGTTTATTGACGGTATACAACAGTGGTGCCCAATTTACGGCCCGCGAACATATTCAATACGGCTCGTTTTGATTTTTTCAAAATAAAACGTAATATTAAAGAAAAAGTAAAGTTATTATAAAATACGATTTTTTTTAGATTCATCAATATTGTTTTCGAACATTTTCATATAGAAGTTTTACGATATAACCCGTACACTTAAAAGAGCGTAATGATCGAATTAATGTGTACCTCAGACGATGAGGAGCACCGGATCGGGTACTTGTCCGCGTCAGGGGCGGACAGGGTATCGAGAGACCCGGGGGTTGAATGATCAACTGGATACTGGTACATTATTATTACGTTTCAGCCGATACATAAATTCGGCTAACAAGTGCTCGATTCCATCTTTAAAACAATAATAATAACAATAGCTGTTGTGTCGTATTAACGTGAACAATAACTCGTACGCGTTTTTAATTACAGTTTTTCATCGGTGTAATATAATGTTTGTGTGTGCAGACACCAACCGGTAGACAGTAATATGATACTTGTGGTCGTTATTCACAGCTGTACGGTGTGTACTGTTGCTGTACATAAACGGTGCGTAACGATAGTTGTGTTTTTCAATCGTTCGAACGACGAACGAACAACGTGTTTTAACACGACGTTTTGTGTACGAGTGCATTGGTGATTTTTACACCGCTGTGAGGGCCCGGGACGCGATTGTCGTCCCTCTGCCCGGTGTTGGAGTGGCGTTGCGGCGCGTGCGTGCGGTCGTAAAACGTTAAAAACGCGCGTGCGTGCGGTCGTATAACGTTAAAAACGCGCGTGCGTGCGATACGGTTATGGTGTAACCGAACGTTTGGTAAGATCGGTAGAATACCCGAAATCACCAAAAATGTGATCGTTTCGGGCGCGCGTGCGTACGACCGGTTTCCGTCGTGTTACCCGGTAATACCGCGCCGGGTACGTGAGCCCACGCGCACGCACGTGGTTCGAACGTTTTTTTTTTTTTCCCCTCTCCATTATTTCTCGCCCGATTTTCACCGTCACGGCACCCCCTCGGTCCGCTCTCGACCAATCGCAACCCCCGTTCCGCGCGCACGGCACTACACCTCGCCACCACCGACGCCGCGCGCGCAGGCCGAACCGTGTTTGAAAATCTCGCGCACCCGTCATCGTCATCGTGTACGATCTCGCGCACCCGTCTTCGTCGTTGTCCGCGGCCATCATTTGCTTTTCACCCTCGATCGATCGACAACGCTCTTCTCCGCATTCGTCGTACCGTTTTTCGCACTGCCAGTCTCTTGCACCTGCCGCCGACGTGTTTTTCCCCGATCGTCTTTGTTCCGACGTTCGGTTTTTCGGTCCAGCGTCCCGTCGCGCGCGTATCGATTTTCAGCGCGTTCCGCGGCAACGTTATCCCGTCGACGCGCGTCTACGCGTTCAGTAGTGGTCCGCCATACACGTTTCGCTGCATAACCTTACAATCACGCACCCTCCCCGCACGTACCGAAAACACGCGTCCGCAGTTGGTAAGTAAAATCTATTTTTCTCCCTCTCGATAATAGAAAATACGGTTAGAAATAATAAAAATAAAACGTTCATCTACAACGCACTAAATGTTATTTTACGATCATGTTCACCGTTCAAAATCGCTACGTGGAGAAATATTACGCCCTCAAGTAGGACGCGTTCGAATTCTCGATTTAAAAATATATAGCCCTTTGTTCGTTCAAATTATATATATCAACGTGTTTATTAAAACATGTTAACATTTCGAGGTATCTGTTACTGTTACCACCTATATTTATCATCCGCAAACTGTTGCTCTCGTGTCGTTTAAACATTTTTGAAAATTGAATCCTTTTGTGCATGCATAGATTTAGGTTAGACCTCCACCATTTTTTTTTTTTTTTTTTTTACCATTCGGCTTTCAAACGAATAAGAGTTGTAAGGGAAATTATTGTTTTAACAGTGTGGTACCTTTTTATGTTTAGTTTATCACAAATAAATAAATCTTAAAAATGTTGGTAAATCACATACGATATTATTATGTAATTAACTATTTTTTATGTGTTATATATAATAGTATAGACTGAGAACTTTAAAAATCGAAATTTTAAGTATTTAATACTTATTATTTGTAACTAATATATATATATATGTATACTAGATGAATTACCCGTCGTTGCCGGGTTTAAGTATATAAATGTATGTAACCTGCCAAGATTAAATTTTGTTAAATCTATTGAAATTTAAATTAATTAAGATTTTTGAAATAATATTTTATACATATTAATTTAGTTTTTAAGATAATGATTATTATCATAACCTATTCGATAAGTTATAGCTTACAACTACCTGAACCGCTCTACAGTTTGGTATTCTGTTGAATACATATAGAATCTCACTTCTCCGAATATTTTACCTTTTGTCAATAAGTTCATGGTCTTTTTGACTTTTAACCGAAACACTCTTGCAATTATATCATGTCGATCATATGATCTTTGACCGGGAAGTAAGAGCTCTTTTATCTCGTCCCAGCAAGGATTACATGTAAAAGTAATAAAAAGGTCAGGACGACCGTAATGTCTAACGTAGGTCATAGCATTTTGTGTTCTTTCTTGCATGTACCTTGGCCCACCAGTAAAAGTTAACGGGAGTATAACCATTTGGCCTAACTGATTAGCTTCTATGTCTCGTCGTCCAATCGCATCTTTTAAATGAATATAACTATCTGCACACAATTTGGCTTGGTTGTTTTTGATGTAATTTAGTCTTTCAGTTTCAATTTTGGCGTATTCATCTACCAAATATTGACTGAAAAGAGAACGATAATTAACTAAATAGTTGTCTTCCCCTTCTCTGACCATTATTCTATATGAGTAAAAACTTGATGCAGAGACAGTTTTTTTAAGCGGTAACTTGGTTTTTGGATTGCGTTGTGGTATATTGATTGCATACCCATCATCCCCCCAACAAAACATTAAAGGATACTGCAGTGCGTCGTATGCTTGATGTATCTCACTGATACGGTGAAGTGAGTTACTTCGGTTTTCGAGGATGATGTCTCTTTGATCAAACTGCTGATCTACTAACACTAAAGCAACTTCATTTGCCGTTGGTGCATTATACCTGCCTCTATGTTCTTCTGGTGGTTTTTTTATCTGCATGTATTACAACTTTAAATGACTCTGAAGGAAGTATTTTATCGATGGTAAATTGTAATGATCAATTGTAAATTATGTGGTGGCATGCCTAGTAAATCCAATGAGTTTAAAAACTCTGTTGGATAATTTACAACTTCAGTAGCATTGCAAACTGTATCTAGATTTGTATGACACCAAGTTTTCTGGTAACAAATTTTGTATCTTGAGATTCAATTCGTTGACCTCCACATTTTTTGCTACTAAAATTGCTCTTTCTGCCAGCCACTCATGATTTTTGTATTGTCTGTGTACACTGGGACATATCTGGTCAATGAAAGCATCGTGCGAATAAATGATTGTGCAGAAATCGTTTGGTAATTTTATACATCCCGTTTCATCTGTAGTAACTTTCCCATCTCCAATATCTAACAATTGTTTTGAGAATCTTTTGCACGCAGCTTTTTTTGATTGAATCGAAATCGAAGTATCGAAATCGTTTGCTATCTATCTTTATATATATTTTGACCATGAATTGTTGACAAAGCTTATGCATCGTAAAATAACTTAGTCCTGATCACGTCTAATCATCAACCGATATGCATAATAATTTTTTGAACTAACATTCTTATTTGTTTTGGCACCTGTTGCGGGATCTTTTTGTGTATTTATGTCATTTACTTACATTAATACAGATATGGGAACTTTTTTAGTATTTTTATTGTTAGAAGGCAATAGTACAAATATTTGTAATATATATATATATATGTATGTGTGTAGTTATTAAAAATACATTTGATTATTTCCTATGATTATATTTGACAATACTTAGTTTACTCAGTTGCCGATCCAGAAATTAAAAAAATAGGGCTAGTTAAATGAGTTGCTGCTCATGTCGATTTGTACAGTCTTTCTTATGTCTATATTTTTAAATATTTTAAGTATCTACATCCAATATGGTTCTACCTAATACCTAAGGGGGGCTTCAGCCTCCATAGCTCTCCCTTGTATCTGTGCCTGACTATTCAGTTAATATAAAAGTCTTCCTAAAAGCATTAATTTAAAATATAAATTATATGCATGAATAAATTACTTGATTTCGTTAAACACTATAAATGAATAGTAATAAAACACTACATTATTGTTTTTGAGTTTGGTAATTTATTGAAAGTCATTGGATTGAAACAGAATTTATTGTAAAATTCAGTGACTTAACTGAAGTAATTTTTTGTACAGATACAAATTATGTAATGATTTCAAATTTTGTATAAGTATCATATTTTTCATTTATACTTTAATTTATATAAAAAATTTTTTTATGAAACTTAAGTATTAGGAGTAAAACTTATATCTTATTGAATACTAATATTGTGCTTAAATATATTTCTTTAGAAATACTATAAAATATTAAAATATATTTACATAATTTAATATTAACTTTTTTATTAATTTTATAGGATATCAATATGGCCGACAACTATAATGAAAATGATATTGCTTCTGCTCAGTCAGATCATGATATTGCTTCTGCTCAGTCAGATCATGATATTGCTTCTGCTCAGTCAGATCATAATATTGCTTCTGCTCAGTCAGATCATGATATTGCTTCTGCTCAGTCAGGTCATGATATTGCTTCTGCTC